TTTATATTAAAAAAGGACTGGCATTAATAACGTTTAACAGTACTGTTATATTGTCAGTGTTGTTATATTTTCTAGTCCTTCGGAATCATTGATGCCAGCAACTATTAAGTGTTGAGAATTGAGTACCGCTCAAGCCGGTGCTAGGAGGCGTGAGGGATGTTACACATATCCATTATCTCTCATGTACAGAATTTTGGTAAGATGCTATTGAATGACTTCCTTAATAATCTTTGTTTAATCTTACAAAAAACAATATCCTCTTTAAATGTGTATCTCTCTATATTGTACGTTTATGCATAAATGTTTTGTATTGTGAAAAACATCTGGAAAATATTACACGCTGTTAACATTACAAAATCTATCTTCAAAATATTATAGCACAACATTATTAAGGTAGCAGTTTAAATGTATATTTGCAACAAAAAACATTGTCTTATGATAATAATATAACACAATTGGTTTTGTATGGTATGACAACAGACAACATTTAAAGGATGCAAAAAGAATTAAAAATAAACAGCAAAAACCTTTGTCTTTAAAACTTACATTCAAATATCAGCTAAATATAAACACATATCACACCAATTACGAAAAGACAATACACACCTTCAATTTACACTTTTTCGAATAAATATCTCAATTTAGTTTGTGTGCGTATTTAACGTCATATTTTGAGTGTTGCTTAGCTATAGCATGTTCATGTTCGTTGAAGATAATGCGCAGCAATCGGCCGGCGGTCAAATGAATGGGTACATTCAATGCGTATTAAAACAATTAATAAAATATGACAACGAGATATAACTATTACCTTTGTTTGAACCATATTCACTCGTTGGTCACGTAAGTCTTTTACACATTGATACACATCAATAGATCCTTTGTCTTTTCCTTGGTCATACAAAATGTCTAGGGCAATGAAAGTACCAGTTCGACCAACACCAGCACTATGTAATGTTGTGAAAAGTGAAATATTTTACTTCATGTTTAAGTTTCTTAATTGTTTATTTTGTTACATGTAACACTAGTGAATTTAGCACTTAACGCATGCTAATTAATACATTTACTGCATGACAATTCGTCAGATTATACATAATACCTAATTTCAGTCATTTAAAAAACATCTTACACCATGATGTTGTTTGCGAAGAGACTGTAATGAGACACAAATGATGCAGACTTTAAAGTTTTACCTACGGTGTGTTCAATAGGCCTCATTAATAAGGCTACTCTACAGAGTGAAATAAAATGAATTATTGATTTAAGATGTTTTAAGGTATCACCTGCAGTGGACAAGCCATGTGTGGTCTTTGTTTTCGTCGTTCTTCCGTACTTTTCGCCAGAACTGAATCAAACTTGACGGTCTCTTTGGAACACTTTTATCCGGCCAGGATGTAAAATGAAACTGACGAATATTTCGTTGTGGTTCTCCCTTCAAAAACAGTATCGTTATATTTTGTTATTTGGAAAGCAAGTAAAATGACTAATCTAAGAAATGTAACAATTAAATTGTCTGATTAGTAATTGAATAAATTAATAAATAAATCAATCAATCAATTAATCAATCAATCAATCATCAATATATCTAGACACTACTCTTGATGCTATTAACAACTGGCTTTCATTGGCGTTCATTGAGCGCCGCCTTTCCTTGTTGATCTTGTTTATCATTTTTTATGTGAAAATGTATAATTTAAGAGAACGTATACAATTTACCTCAAATGATACATTGAAGTTCCGAATTGTAAAGTCATAGTAGATAATTTCCGATGCCGTGTTAACAAAAACGTTACCATAGCGTGTACTGGTTTCGACAGCCGGCCAATACTGCTGGCATTTTGTCTGAACAAAAGACAAAGTATTATAAAAGTCACAAGAATAACTAATGTAATAAGGTTTTGAAAAAATATCAATAAAGTTATATGAAAAAAATTACTTATCCTATCAAATACTTTCACGATGTCTATAATTTATGTTATATACATTAAAGAAAGTTAGCTCAATTTATCTATCTTAAATCAATAAAAGAAATCACGTATTTGGCATTAGAAAGGTTATTCTTAGTTGATGCATTGCTGATGCTTAAGAAACTCTTTTGTGGATGGTGGAAACTGACAGAGATAATGTTTTTTTAAGTACGAGTATATGTGCAATATTATGAAATACCTTTTTCTAGCTCAACCAGGTTTGTTACCATGGCAATGGTATATACATCTTTCTCCCAGATCATTCTCCAAAAATCGTCCATGCTCGAGTCAATGGGACCTTAAACACATTTACAATTATTAAAATGTAGATACACATATATACAAACATAATCATCCGAATGCTATTGAAATGAAACCTGCACAGCTACGTTGCATTTTCCGTTCAAACCATGCTTTTGATGATCTCTTTTAAATAGTGGAATTGTACAGTTTCATAGGAATATATCTATAAATATGTATAAGTATCTCTTGCCATACTTCATTACCAAGTTTGTTATTTTCAAGTCAATTTAGACAATCTGTGATTATCTATTAGAAAACTTCAATATAAGGGAGATAAAAGGTTTTGATTAGTGTGATATAAATATCTCCAAAATACCCTCCGCTGTACCTCAAATAAAAGACCATTATGCCTCAGACTTCAATAAAACTTTGATTCTTTAGAAAAGTCAAATATGTGATGAATTAAATAATGGATTTAGAGCATCTTAAATGTTAAATAACTGGAAATAGTAGCGCTTGACATGCAGCACGAAATACTTAAAATATTGCCAAAAATTAAAATAAGCAAAAGACAATTTTCTTAAGAACCGATGTGAAACATTTTGGAAACCAGAAATAAAGTGTTTTATTTTTAGAAACAAAAATGATAGCATCACGTCAGTGGCTAAATGGACATTTGAGATAGAAAACAAAACAAAAATATTCTTATTCTTCTAAAATATATTAATTACAATGTACTTTGTTAATTCCAAAGTTATTGATTACCTTGTGCCGCTATGTAGGCATATTCTTTGTGATGTCCCTGTTCAACAAACAAATGTCCTGGTTTATTAAGAATAATGTTGCACATAATATAAAGATTTCTTAAACTAAACTTACTTATATCTTGGATGTCATCACATTAGAATAAAAGGCTATGTTCGCTTCTAAAATGTTATATGCCTTAGTTGCTTTTCGTTTGCGATATCCATATAAGAAGCTAATACCGCTTTAAGTTTAGCAAAATAGAGAAAATAGGATTCCCTAAAGAAAGTCCAAAACGGCAAAATTGAAAATAATGTAAACTCGGTTTGACTGAGCCTGTTAAAGGACGGTACTGTCAAGTGCAAATTACCGTCTAGCATCTGCTTAAACAAAATTCAACATTTGACATAAAAATGGTGAAATTTTGAATTTAGAAACATCCGCAGATATGTTCATACGCCACAAGAATAACGACTTTTCTACTGCATCAGTATGACTAAAATATACTTATTTGCAGAAGAAAGAATGCACTTGGTTAATTTGGAAAAATCCATATACTTGCTTGGCAAATTAGTGGCAAATTTGGTATCAACACTTTGTCGAAATGTTTTGACCACACAATGGTTTACTTTGTACTGGCATTTGTTTTATTTAGTTTTATTTCATTGCGGAAGGGTGAAATTTAAAAGTTGCAGAGTTGTCAATTTTTGTGCTCAGTAACGTGACAATTGACCAGTAAATGTTTCGTAGATCATCTGAAGTGTTCGAGACTGCATGGACCTGATATAATATCATATGGAACTGAATCATGGTAATTTCAAACATTAAAGTATCCAAAGCTTTTACAAGAATCACAATTCTACAACTTTTATTTTTCACCTTTCAGCTGTTTACAAGTAACCAAAATTCTGATGATAGGCAACATTCATTTTAATGTAAACCATCGTGAAGTTAATACCTTTCTACAAAATTTGATACCACATATGTCTAAATTTGCTGAAATCAGTATTTCCCTATAATCAGGTGCACACTTTCTTTTGCAACTGAGTATATAATAATGTCTTTTTTATTGTTACAGTTGTTGTTACGTTAGAAACTTGCCATATCTGTATCTACGAGTAATTTCTTATGGTTTTTTATCATAAATATGATGCTTATATCATAAATTTGATGCTCAAATTAAGATTTATTAATATTGTAAGTTCTAAAAAGCATTATTTATAAAAATATTACCGAATTTAACATTTTCATGTAAATAAAGGAAGGTAATAAGAAATTCATTTCGATAAAGTCTAAGCCAAATTGTTCAATAAGAAATGAATGGTTGTATTTTAATGATTACTTATAATGCATTTTAACATTTGCAGTACATATTAAAGTTTTCTTTGATGTTTGGAAATTGTTTTAGAAGAATAATTATATACATATATAAAATTTCACTTAAGATTTGTTACATCCTTAAATACAACATACAGGATTCAGGTATGTTAAAAGGTCTTACCTTGATGAAACTCGCATTGATATAATCTGATCCCTGTATGTTTGGCAGTTTTTTCAGCTTAACACGTGTTTCATCATCTGATGATTCAAGAAATGTAAGTATAGTATTAAATTGACATAAAGCCACCTTTATTGAACAAAATGTCACTGAATACATGCATAGTTTTATTTTCATCATGCTTATAAAATGTATTGGTAGAAAAAAAGTATGTTTAAGACGATAATACTGTCATTAAAAATTGAAAACTGAAGGTATTTTGTAAGATGCTGACATAACATTGTGTCATGACGGTAATCAGTTATTGTTAGAGAGGCTTATATATAAAGTTAAAATGGCTATCGTAGTAATAACTGTGGTGCTATGGTAAAGCTTTAGTTAACACTTGCTGAAAAACACATTGTTGAAGTTACTTTCTATATATTTTTCTTTAGTTTTGTAGTCGTTATCATTTCCTTAACAATACTTTTAAATAAACATATTCTGCTTTGAACAGACATTTTTGTTTAGTTGTCAGTCCCACAAAGATTGTCACAGTCATATGGCGACTTGCAATCTTACTGGTGAATAAAAAAACACACGCTCATAATTTCAGGCATGACATCTGAGAGAAAGTTAACTTTCTGTATGCGTTCTGAACAGCATCTTAATTAATCAAGTTCATGCGCTTTAATTGAGAAGCATGCCTCCAGATTCTTGCAATCTTCGGTTATCCAGACTTTTTACCGTATACCAGTAGTGTATACGGAATTTGCACGCTGGGTTTTGCTAATGTCATAAAAATTTTGGATATATATTTAGAAGTAACGATTGTAAAGAGAACAAAGGAAGTATTGTACACATTGCAAACGGCACTTATAATCCACGTAAATTACCAAAAAGATGTCAAAATGTGCAAAATTAGCCCTACTGCACAGTAGAAATATGAAGATAAATACTGCAAAATTATATTATATTGTTTTTACTTTTTCCTGAAGGTTGGTTTTATTGAAATATTTTTGCTTATATGTAGGCATTCATCAGCTTTAAATAATATTTAGTTTTGATTTTGAACTTTTTACTTTCCCGTTATTACACAGGTTTGAAAAGAAATACAATTATACAATAATAATGTCAAAAACTGTAAAAATTATTTCATACATGCGTGCATATCCTTGTATCTGTTCTTTTCACGGTTAAACGATTTCTTGGCAACAGCAGACGACTTTTTCATTCCATAAGGTATATCCTGAAACAAAACCAAGATAAAAACTATGACAAAAAATACCCCCCCCCCCAAAAAAAAAAAAATGAAACAAAAACAATATTGGAAGCAATAAGATTTATTCTTAATTACTCAACATTTGAATAAATGCAAACGAAATCTGAACTTTCAGGTTTGATCTTTTGCATTTTATAACATTGCTTTTCTTTATCTGCACATAATGTGTGTACATCTGTATATAAGTCACGAAACCTAAATACCTATTTCTTTTCATACAATTCTCTATTTAATTTCTTTTTTTATTAAATATAAAGTTTAAAATGAATGGGTCTGCAATCAGCACATTTTCAATAAGTATTTAAAAAATGATAAAACAATAGAACTGTATCATTTGAATATTCTTATAGAATATCTCTTGAACAAAATTTTGATACAGGTTTTTTATATGGACATTTATATGATGAATAATGATATTTTGTGCTATAACAATTTATTATCTGCTATTTAAGGATACGTCGTATAAGATCATTTACATCACACTTACCAGCACAACATATTAATATCTAAATACTTCGTATTTTTTTAATCACATAACGTTATGAATTATTTTAGCAAAATTATACGGACCTTCCATAATGGATCAATTCACTGTAACATTAAATTATGAAGAATATTTAATTATGTAGATCTCAAGTATCAAGTAACAAATAAATAAGTTAAAAAAACGTTCACATAAGGAACATCAAATAACCTGAAATTCTGTTGCAAAGTGGTAAGGATTGGCCAGATTTTCTTTGACGTATGATAGAAGATTTGAAAGTGGAATGGCATTTCTGCTGGGACTTTGCATCGGGAAGTTGTTGTAAATGTTCGCATCCGCTGCTGCTGCCGGAATTCCACTGTCATCTGCTGAAAACAAAACTATGTAGATAAACTTTGAATTCTTCTACAATTTCAAAATCTCAACCCAGATTCATGTACGTGCACATTTACATTTTCGTAAATAACACTCATTTCCATTATCGTAAATACCACTCATTTCCATTATCGTAAATAACACTCATTTACATTGTCGTAAATAACATTAGCGTATGATATGTTTAGCAATTACCCTTTAATAAAACCTAGTATCATTAAGGCTATTCATGATACTAGGTATAAGATACAAATTCTTCTGAGAGTTGGACAGCACTGACAAATTCTTTAGTAAGATAGGACATCATATATTTCATCAAAACAAAACTGTTTTAGTACTATAAAACAAATAACAGACTCTTGTTTTTAGAATATATAGGTAGGCATATGTCTATCTCTGACAAGATGAATCCCAAATGACTTAAATAATATTCAACAATATATCAAATATATCATATCAAAATATCGCTTATAATAAGAAGTAGGGAACAAGAAAGATAATTGAAAGTTCAAATCCGTCCGTTAATGAAATAAAAAAAGGTTAGTGGCGGCATGGCCGAGTGGTTAACGCTTCGGACTAGTAATCTAATGATCGCTAGCCGCATGGGTTCAAACCCTGACAGGGGCAAGTCGTTGTTTCCTTGAGCAAGAAACTTTACACTAATTGCTCAGTACTGGTTGGTTCCAGGAACGGATTCGAAAGTGCGTTTATAAGCTTATAGCTTCCTGCACAATCGAACTAAAATAAATTCTGTATAAACCAAAAAAAGGTTCACCGAGCACTGGTTAAAGAAAATTCAATCTTTGTGTTAAAATCAATGATACAAAAGGACTAGAAAATAATACAACAAAGTTTATAGGTGACACACAGCATTTCACATGGCACTTTTAGACGTACATAGAGATTTACGTCAGGAGGAGAAAAATATGAACCCAAATAAAATTGCCTAAAAAAGATTGTAATTGAAAAAACACTGAAATGTCGTGTATGATCGATCCATTATATAAATGTAACCAAGGTACATAAAAAATAACAAAAACAATAATATAATCTATATGACCTTTTATTTATCGAATACTATAATAGGTATGACCATGAAGATGTGTTTAAACAAGACAATTGCACATTTTTAAATCTTTAGTTTTAGTATGTTTGACTAGTTATACCTGTGAATTTTTTTTCTGTTAATTGATAAATTAATATTGAGAGCACTTTATTATAACCAATTACAGTGAACTAGTTAAGATATCATTGGTAAAAGCATTCTTTAACCAAACTCTTTGTAATTTAAAAACAATAGTCAGATCTACCTCTGAATTACGCCATACCTGTATTTGATTGCGTATTTCCACCGTGAGATGGCCTTCTATTTTCATTGCTAGCAGTCGCAACAGCGTCTCTGAGCTCCACGTCTTCTCTTTGTTTATCTTTTCTATTGTAAAAAGAAAATGATAAACGATATCAAAACAGTAAATAGTCAATATTTTGAACTTGTATTTCTTTATGTCTTAAATGTCCACAATTTCGTTTAAACTTTGAAAGTTCTAATATCCTCAAAGATATTAAAGAAATGCACGCTTAAAATTCATGTTTATTTCTTTAATAGTTTTGAAATATTATGGAAAAAGTAAAGATATCTTCAGATCTTTTGTCTATATAATATTCTATAAAAAATCAAATTATTATTTTGCACTTAAATGATGCAGCCTTGTATTCTGCATTTACACTGCTTCAGAATTAAGACACATGTAGTAAGTTAGTAACACAATAATATAACATTACCTTTTATTCTGATTGCGTTGCTTATGCCAAACGAAAGCAATAACTACAATAATTATTACAATTAAGATGACAAGAACCGCTACTCCCCCTGCCACAATCGAACTCGAAATATTCGACGTTTGCATTGCTGTAAATATAAAGATATGTGTACCGAGTTATCTACCCGTGGTGTAAAAAAGAGATTACACACATTTATCCTGTACTACAAATAAAGTCTCTAGAACACATGACCAATGTTTGACTCACTCTGTGAAAGTTAAACATTATTTATAAATATTCAAATGTTCTAACAATTGAATATGTTGATAATTACATGCAAGCGGCGAGCAAACAATAATGAAAATGAACTGATGATAACTTCAAGATAAAATTTACATTGACAGAAGCCGGGATTAATTCAATAAGCTGACTTTCAAAACACAAGCTTGCTTTTAAAATAATGCGTATAGTAAAATACCTTGTAAACAGGTGGCGCCGCTGTAACCTGTTTGGCATCCTCCATGACAAGTGCCATTAACATGGTTGCAACCTTTTCCAGGTAAGCAGTTACCACACACCAACGCGCAGTGTTTACCGTAAAACCCATTGTCACATTCTTGGAAAAATTATATGTTTTAAGTGTAACAATTTGACATGAGACAATATTTTAATAAACTGTATAAAAATGTTTAAAAGGATACAAAACGACAATAAAAAATACGACATCAAAATAAATTTGCCTTCCGGAACTATATTGTGTAAGTAAAATGTTATTCTTCAAAACCAACATTCACTTACAAAAAGCAGTACTCCCCGGATGTTAAATTTTAATGGGTAATATCGTCGAGTATACTGTGCAAAGTTGTATTCAGGGCGAGTGGGATAGCATCATTATGCAATTTTCCTTTCATTAAATAATTCTATAAAATGCGTTTAGCAAATTTAAACATGACGGAGGGAATTATTTTTCATTAAGAATATGCGGATGAACGGATGAATTTATACGTAGTATATGCATATTCCGGACGTTACGACCACAGCAATACAATGTGTTGAATGCTGAAAAACGATCGGGATGTATGTGGTAATAAGGTTTATTTTATCAAAAAACTTACAGAATACCGAGAAATCTCCCCCTTTCCACATTTTGTAAGGAACATGTTATATCTTAAATCAGCTATTGAAAAGGAATTGTATTAGGTGATGGATTAAATAAAAGGAAAAACTATTATTTGTTTACTTGAGAAACAGTCTGTTCCATTCCAGCCTGCCTTGCAACCATTTAGACAATTTCCATCTGTAGGTCTGCACATCTTATCCCCGCCTTCACAGTAATCACTGCATTTCGTGCTGCAGTTATCGCCAAAGGTACCGCTAGTACAGTCTAAATATTATTTTGAAAAACAAAAATATCATAACAAAAATTATTCAAACAAAGACATTGAAATACTTGGTATCAATTAAACATGACAAGAATAACAATTTTAATCTCAGACAATTTGTTTGAAATTCAGGAAAACATTTATTTAAAGAAGTCTAAAGTTCTTCTGAAGATTCAATACATACACATGTTTCATTTTAATCAAGAGTTATGTTAAACAAATCGAAATCTACAGGTACGACATTCAGTTGTATTGCATATTCACAAATAAGTCTGAAAATAATTTAAATTTTAGATGCACAACTGTATTGACATTAAAACTTTATTATCTTTATCAAACAATAGATGTTCAGAATACTTTTAAGGGAGTCACTTAAAAAATAGAAAAAAACTAGTAAGAGAAAACTGCATTTATTCATTGGCCTATAATATAATGGAAAGTGCAAATATTTTACCCAATATACCACACGCTTAAGCAACGTTCATTCATCAACACTTAAAGCACTGTAATCAATGATCCCGAAAGACCAGACTAAAATATAACGGAAACATAATTACTTTCTTTACACTTCTTTCCTTGAAAACCTAGCTTGCACCCTTCATCACAATCGCCATCAACATACCCACAGACATCATGTTTACAATTTGAAGGACAACTCTCCTTACATCCAATACCAAACTTCCCAGGCAAACATTCTATAAAGAACAAAATGAAAGAAAGTATTATATTTCGTTATGTAAAGAATAAAATTTTTAGGGCGTCCGTGGCCGAGAGGTTAGGTCGTTGACTTCAACTCACTTGCCTCTCGCCACTGTGGGTTCGAATCCTGATAGTTACTTTGGATTCTTTCATGTGAGGAAGCTATCTAGCTAGCTAACGAAACGTCTGTGGTTCTACTAAGGTACCAGTTTGTACCTGAAATAATGCACGAAAGGGCATCTGAGGGCTTCCTCCACCAGTAAAGCTGGAACGTCGTCAGATGACCTTTACTGTGTCGGTGTGACGTAAAACCCAATCAAACAAACAAGCAAAGGATAAAGTTGTTTTAATCCACAGAAACACTCAAATACTAAAACAAATTTTAGATAACTCATCAGAATGTGAACATTATTCAAGAATGAAATCTGAAAGTACATCTAAATAACATTGACAAAACATGAAATTGTTCTGAGTGTTACAAGTGTGTTTGATTTTCTGTATTTCTGCTTGCATATGCAACCTGATGATTTAACATAAAACGACGATGAAATAAAGATAGTAAAACTATTTTATATCTTTCGATTTCAACATTCGGGAAAACGAAAAAAAAACCCAGAAAAATCAATGAAAAAAAGTTAAAACAAAGAAAAAGCACCCCAAACACAAAATAAAAATGATAATAATAATGAAACAAACAAACATATTTTAAACCGTTTTGAAATGATTTGGAATTACATATGTGTGATAAATTTATTTATTTGATGTATAAAAATTAGGAAAATTGAGATATTTTGAAGTGATAATTATTTGATTTATATAAAATAGAAAAACACATCATGAGAGACAAATGAAATACACATTTGTTAATTCCATTAACTTACGTGAATCACATTTTTTACCATTCCACCCTGCCTGGCAACCATTCAAACATTCTCCATCTGTATGTCTACATATTATGTCACCCTCTTTACAATGACCACTGCATTGATAGGTGCAATTATCACCATAGTAACCGTTATTACATTCTAAAAAAATCATTTAACAAGTAAACATTGTTTAAATAGCCCAGATAAAATTGTAAATTTACATTAAAATACTCTAAATTTTATAATTAATGTAAATATTCAACAAATGCAAACTATTCAAGTGAGAAAAATGCTTAACAAAAAAAAAACTTGCATGGATTCATAATGTACAGCTAAATAATTGTAATGAATCTTATGTTGAAGCTTTCAATAACATGTTTATTACGGTAGAATACCGTCACGTTTTAAAAATTTGTGCTGGAATATATAAGCTAGCTTACTTTCTTCACACTTATTTCCTTGATAACCGGGGTTGCATCCTTCACTACAATTGCCGTTGACATGATTGCAAATACCAGTTTTGCAATTTACTGAACAATTCTCCTTACAACCTACACCATATTTTTCAGCTAGGCACTCTATCATTACAAAGAAATAGTTATAAATGTAGCTTACTTTAATTTTTTATTATAAATAATATCTAAATCTGCAACATAAAACAATTAACAACGTACATGTTTTTTTATTACCATAGTTCTGACATAAATTAATAACTTTATCAATATTGCATCAAAAACCTTGTAGTAAAGACCGCCAACTGGTCTGAGCAAAAACAGTCTTAATGTACAAGTTATCTTATTTGTCAACTTTAGTGTTTAGGTGTACAATCTTAAAATCAAGGCCCCTTTTAGTCATTTTGTATGAATATGTTCAATTAATATATATTATATATATTTCAAACCCTACTTTAAAAAGATGTTATAATATTTAGTCTGATGGAAAGCAGAACATAATTCTAGAAAATTATATTATTAAGATAAAATAATCATTTGTCTATCTTTTATTATATGATGTACATAATTCACATGAGAATGAAATTGTTCACAAAACAAAACATTTAGAGAGCCACATTAAACCAAACTGAAATTTTTACATTGCATTTATACGACATTCGAATTACAACAATTTTAAAACCTTGTTTCATAAAAATTGCCTTAGAGCATTTAGAATTTCTTTCAAGATTTTAAATAAATGTTGTCCTCTGTGATTACTTGTATTCATGTCTATGTATGTTACATATTGAGAAATATAAAATAAAACTCGAAACTTGAAGCAATTAAACATATAATAAAAACAAACTGTGCTATAGATTTGCATTAACTTGATTACCAGTGTCACAATAGTTGGGACAAATAAAAAAAAGAATTGGGACGGAAACTGGTGGTTAAAATAGTGGATACGCAGACTTGTCTTAATTGTTGATCATGTTTCTATTGACATAAAGATTCCGTTTTTTCAAAGTTTGTCTTAAATGTGGAATGGTCATAATTCCGTGGTTGTCTTAAAAAATTTCCTTCTGTATGTATAAACTTCAATAATATTTCATTCCAAATGTACCAATGACAACGAAATTTTAATTAAAACATTTGCAAACTTAAAATGTTAAAAATGAAAAAAAGCAATGTAGATTCTAATGCCTTAGACATTTAACGGTTTATAATTTACATATGATTTACAATTATACAGAAAGAAAGAAGTAAATATATATATAAATAGATAAATAAATATTATATATATTAAATACATCAGCATTTATACCGGTAAAACCCGTTTTCGGCAACTTAACAAAATATCGAAGGGTTAAAAATTTTTTTATATTTGAGAAAAAAAATATTTTCAAAGAATTTTTCAAAATGGTTTCCCGGTGATTTAAAAAAATGATTTTTTTTGTTTTTGTTTTCAAAAACCACTAATTCCCAAAAACGGGAAATAGAAACCCCGGGAAATTTTTAGTAAAAACCAAATTAAAAGAGGCACATAATTAAACCTTAAATCTTTAAATGAAAATTTTTAACTGTTTAAAACTTTAAATTTAGAAAAAATTTAACCCCCTTTTTTTTTTAAAAGGAGCCGGGATGTCATTTCAGGGAAAACGCAGATAAAAAATTTCCACCTTTTCTATTTAAACCTTTCAGAAAGAACAAAAATGACAAGGATCAGGCCTTTCAGGTTTTCCTTGTCCCCCGATGACTTAAAAAGGTTTTTGGCCTCTTTGATGAAATTGGGGGTTAATCTTACACCACTATACATTTGTCAGTTTCGTCTGCACCAATATCAGATTCAGAGCTTGAGAAATACTCGCTAAGTTTTACTTTTTTGTTTGAATCCAGATATAGAGGGTTCTATATGTTTTGTTCTTTTAACTTTAACTGGATTGCTGTGTTCGATTTTTACATCTTTTTCTGTGATGCATTTACCTCCAACTACTTTACTCAAAGTCTTTCTTATTTTTGCTTTATTATCTTAACATTTTGCAGAATTCCCCCCCCCCCTCTGTTCAATAAGAATGAATCAGCAGACTTAGATGTTTTTGAATGGTGTATTGATCTGGCATCGTGGCAATATAGATGTGGCTGCAGGCAACTGGCATCTTCAATACAGACTGTCAAAAGGGATAAATTCCTCGCTCACTACCAGTGAGATGGGCCAGATGGGTAGGTTTCTAAATTCATCAAAAATAACTATTTTCAAAAAGACCTTTTTTCAATTATTAACCCTTTTTTTTTTATACAATAAAATTCTACATTCATAGAAAATGGGTTTTAAAAAGAAAAATCTTTTTTTATTTGTAATTTTTTTTTAAAATTTCCCCAAAATAAATTTAAAAAATTTTTTTTTTTCCCCTTTGGGAAAAAATTCTTAGGAAAAATATTAAAAAAATATTGCTCTTTTCGTTTTCCACTTAAAATTTTTTTTTGCCGTCCAAAAAACATGTAAAAAGCCCCAGGAAAATTTTCCCACCTAAAAAACCTAAACATAACGAAAGTCCAAACACCACATGTTAAGGGCTAAAAAAAAAAAATGTTAAACCCCCGGGCCTATAAAGGTCAATTAATTTTTTAATAAAAAAATGTCAACCCCCGCCAAAAAAGGGCAAAGTAAACAGCAAAAAAAAAGGTTCGTTTTTGCGTAGACCCCATAAAATTAAAGTTGGATCCCTTTGCCATTAAAAAAAATACTGTGTGGATTTGTTTTTGGTACTTCCCCTTAAATTTTAAACCTGCACCTTTCTGCTTTGGGGCATTGACACGTCCTTTAACACCATGCCTATCAATGAAAAATTTTTTTATTTTTCACACTTAATTTTATTAGAAAAAAAAGAAAAGGGATATGAAAATAAAACCCTATTTTACAATTAAAATTATTTCAAAATTATTTAAAATAACAACTTTCCTTTTTTTTCAAAAATTTTCCCTGGGACAAAGGAAAAACAATGGAAAAAAATTTTTAAAAAGAAAAAATTTTAAATTTTTACTTCCCTGATATCTAGGTAGACTCCTGTTAATTAAAAATTCAAATTAAAAAAAGGTTTTAAAATTTAAACCTTTTCATTTTTAAAATTTTAAAAAATGTTTGCCGGGTTAAATTTTCAAATTTTAAAAGAGGGAAAAATGGGCTGGTTTTAAAACCCATATGAACTATAGAAAAAGGGAATTTTAACACATTGGCCGGGTAAATAAAAAGGTAAGTTTTTTCACTCAGGTTGAAAAAAAACTATTTACATGGGGCGTATTATAATGTTATTTCCCCGAAAAAGGGTTTTTTAAAAAGATTTATTTTTAAAAATTTGTAAATTTTAAATTTTTTGTGAAAATTACGTTTCCGGCGGGCTGGATGTTTTCAGGGTTTAAAGTTTGGTTGGGGATTTCCTTTTAGGTTTTTAAAACCCTTTAATTTTGGCCAAAAACTTACCAAGGGGTTTGGAAAATTTGCTTTCATGTGGTTGGTAAAACAAAAAAGAAAATTTATGAGATTGGCCCCCCTCCCTAAACCCCCAAGGTTATTGCTTTATGTCAATAATAAAAAAAAAACCGTAGGCAAAAATTGTTTAAAGGGGTTTAATTTTAAAATTTTAAAAAAAAATTTGGGAAATTTGACCTTCCGAAACAGAAAAAAACCCCCATCTGCTCCAGCAGGTTGTCCCCCAGCCCAAAGAATTTAAACTCATGGAGGGGAAAAAAAGTGGGGGGATTATTTTTGGGCCCCCTTTGGAATCCTAAAGGAATTTTTTTGCCTTGAAAATGTTTCAGCTTGGTTTTTAAAATTTTCCCCCAAATTTTTTAGGTTGGGTTATGTTCTTTTAAAACCCCCTTTATCAAAGTTATAAAATTATGAGGTTTTTAAAGGGTTTTACTTTGGTTTTTGACCAAATTTTCCCCAAAAATAAACAAAAAGCCCCCCCCCCCCCCTTGTGGTACTTTGCCCCCACAATTTCTAAAAAAACCCTTTTGGTTCTTTCCCAATTTATGGCCCCTTGGGTTAAAATTTATACAACCTTTATCCCGGGGGATGTTTTTAAAACCAAGGGCCCTTTAAAGAAAGCAAGTCAAAATGATTTAAAAGTAAAGTTTTTGGGTTAAGCCATAATCAGTCATCCCTTTTTTTTTCAAAAGACCCAATTGAAGTGCCGTTTTGGTTAAAGAGGTTTAGATTTTTTCTCAATTCACTTTCCCCCTTTTTTAAAGGGGGGGGCTGGGGTTGGTTTTTTTGGTACAAATGTTTATGTAAGGAAATAAAAAACCCAAAAATTTTTTCCAAAGGGGGGGCCCCGGAAAAGGTTTGGTTTGGGCCCTGTGGTTGTTTCCCGATTTATAATCTAAAAATTTTTCATATAGCCTTTTCCCCAAAATATTTCCCTTTTTCCCGGTTGGGATTTCCCTTTTGTAAATTTTTCCAGTTACTTAAAACCCCAAAATTGTTGTTAAAATTAAAAAACAAAATTTCCTTTTTTAAATTTTTTAAAAGTTCCCCCCACGAAATTTTGAAAAATTTCAAAAGCGCTGATTCACATTTTTCGGGTTTAATTCTGTTGGTAAGAAAAAAGATTTCCCCTGTTTTGTTTATTTTTTGAAAAGCGAAATTTCCGATTTGTAGGGGAATAAAAATTAAAATTTTAAATTTATTCAAAGGAAAGAACAATTTATAAAAAAAATAAAATATTTTTTTTTTTTTGGGGAATTTTTATTTTTTAAAAATTTTAAAAATGAAAAAAAAGAAACTTACATTATTTTGTAATTTAAATTTGAAAATAATTCCAAAGTTAAAAAGATAAAAATTAAAAAATAAGGTTTAAAAAAATATTTAAGGAAAAAAAAAAAAAAAAAAAAAAAAAAAAAAAAAAAAAAAAAAAAAAAAAAAAAAAAAAAAAAAAAAAAAAAAAATTAAGTATATAATTAAAATTATGTGTTTGGAAAAAACGGAAAAGTTAACTAAAACAAAAATTCTGTGACCTTTACCTTTAAGGTGGACCCAAATTTTTGGGGCGAAATTGTTTAAATGGGTTTTTGTCAAATTTTTAAAAACCGTTAAAAAAAAAAGTTATGGGGGCCGGACCAATTGGGACGTTCTTCTTTACGGGGGGGTTATGCTGTGACCTTGACCTTCAAAATGCGACCCCAAAAATTTTTGCGCGAATCGTCTCAATATGGGTTTTATCATTCTGTGAAAAAGGTTTTAAATGAATCAAAACATGAAATTTAGACCGGGGCCGATTTTTTCTGAAAGGGCATGCTTTTGCCTTGACCTTCCGGGAGGACCCCAAAAGTTGGCGCGAAAGCGTTTAATTTTGGTTATATTTTGTGAAAAAGTTTTAAAAACCAATTCAATTAAATTTTGGCCGGACCGATTGGGAAAAGAGTACGGACGGGAATGACGGGCAAACCCCCGATATATTTTTCCCCCGAAATTTTTTTGGGGGGGATAAAAATTTTGATCCCCTTTAAAATTTTTTTAACTTATGATTTTTTTTTTTTACCCCAAAATTTAAAAAAAACAGTCCCTTTTTTTTTAAATTTTTTATTTTTCTATTTCTTTAAAATTTGTAAGCAAAAATGAAAAAAATGAAAAATGTTTCCCCTTGTGCATAAACAAATTTTTCAAAAGGAAAAAAATAAAGTTGGCGAAATTTTATCAAAAATTTTTTGTTCCCGGGAAAACTTATCTCTCTTTTTTTGATTTTCCCTTTTTTTATGTTTAAAGGGGGGAAACCCAAAGGGCCCTTTTAATTTTTATTTCTCAAGCCGAAGGTTTTGACATACACCCAAATTTTTTACAAAAAAAAAATCCCTTTCGTTAGGGATGTTTAAAGATCAAAGGGGTGAGCAAAAGCGTTCTGCGGGGTTAAGGGCCCCTTTAAAGGGGACGTTTTTGTTTCTTTTGAAATTTTAAAACAGAAAAAAAACTTTAGGGAAAAACACGGAAAAGTTCCCGGGGTAAAAAGAAGAAAATTTTTTTCCCTTCCCCTTTAAACCAAAACTTTGTTCAATTTTTTTATGGGTTTTGTCTTTATGGCGTTCGAGGGGGTAAGAAGGATGCAGTTACAATTTGGGCAGTCCCCTTTAATGCTGTATTTTTTCCTTAAAATAAATTTTTTTTCCCCTTCCCCTTTGTTCATTTTTTTAAAAATTTAAAAACTTTTCCAAAAATTTTAAAATAATGTTTTTTAGGGGATTATTAAAAATCCCAAACCCCGTGACTGATTTTCAAGGGTTAAGGTTTTGACAAAAAATTTTCCGGTATGTGATAAAGAAAGAATATGTAAAATAAAAAAGGCCAAAGTTTCAGTTGGGAAATTTTATTAAAATTTTTTTTTTCTGCTTTAAAGCAATTTTTAAAGGGAAAATTGATCATTTAAACTTTAAAATCATCCCATACATTGTTTTTTGGGCATTTTTGTGCAAGGGTTTGGTTTAAAGGGTAAAAAAAATTAAAAGTAGTTTTGCAGTTTTCTTTTTTTTTAAAAAGCTTACAAGGTATTATGATTTTTTTGGAAATGTGATTTAAACAATTTTTTAAATTGGGTTTTTTTTGTACAAAAATTTTATTGGGGTTAAACGAAAAACGGTTTAAAAACTGTTATATAAAATAAAAACATTTAATTTTTTTTTTAAAACAATACCCCTTTAAAATTTAAATTTATTTTGATGATGTTTAATTCTGGTTGGGTCATATAAAAAGCTACAAAATGAACATATTTCATTGAGTTATTTAAATAAATGAAGAAAACCTATAATAACTTAGCTCGATAAAAACCATAAAGGTCACCAAACCAATGTATAAAAAGAATGTTATGATTAATATAAGTTTATGAAATTTTATCTTTATTCCTCAAAATTGCTATAAAAAATTTAAGATTGAATGCAGTACATACTTTTCCCACATTTCTCTCCTTCCATCCTGGTATGCAGCCGCTTGTACAGCGCCCATCAAGTATTGATTACATTCCTGTTTATCACATTGTTGACTTACATTTGTACGTTTTACATCTGTGTGCCCATAACATTCCACTGGAGCATGCTAAGAAAAAATATGAATAATAACTATTATACACCTTTTAAATCATAACCAATGATTCTTCAGCATTTATAAATGACTTTTCGATAGAAATCATTTTCTGATCAAATCTTATTTATTCAGCCTCGTTTTCATTTTCAGAATCCAAAATATCCATATCAGATAGATACTGTCCTCCATTTGCCTCATTTTATATTTCAGGGGTAAAAAACTTATTCAATTCCGTTAATGGTCCTTTAAATTAAAAAATTTTCTGTCAAAATTTGATGAAGATATATATAAATGCTCGCAATTTGATATTGTAAGTATTAAAATAATAAAAAATAAAAATCAAAATTTAATTCGTCATCTTGCAAATGTTTTCTTTAAATTCAAAATTTCACCATTTTTCATTTTTAATGTTTAAATTCTGCTGAGGCCCCGGTGCAAGGCGAATGACGGGTTAACATGCACTTTCAAATTGCCGTCCCTTAAAACAAGCTCAATCAAACCGAACCTGCAATAGATGTCAAATTTGTCAAAATTTGGACTTTCTTCAGGGATTTTACCGTTTTCTATTTTTTTTAAATGCCATGTTTTAATATCTACACTCACTATAAGGGGGCCTAAAATGAAATTTTTACCCCGTGTTTTAAAAAAAATGGTGTTTTTTTTTAAAGAAAGGACCCAATTTACCCTTTCCCGTAAAAGAGAATTTCCGCTTCCCTTGTTTGTAATTTTTTTTTTTCAAAATTTGGGAAAAGTTCCCGGGGAATTTATTGATTTTTAATAAATTTCTGCCCCCCTTAAAATAATTTTTTTCGAAAAATGGCATAAATTATTTAAAAAATAATAGTTCTTCTTGCATACGAAAGTCCTTTCTGAATACGTATGCGAAAAGGGGTGCTTTTCGCTATTAAGACATACCAGGAAAAAAGTATTGCAACAATTATCATTTTTCAAGGAGGCACTTTGTTGGCATTGATAAGTTCGCTTGACATGAACGGGTTTGATAATTGTTAGTTGCAGGTGATGTATCATCATTGCATTTTATTGCCAGTGGACTTCCAGAAAGACGATGATGACGAAAGGATCGATCCTCTGTTCGTGATATTTTCTCAATAATCATCTGATTGTCGACCAATATCTCTTACAAAAGTTCTCACGAACATATCAGCGTTATAAATGCCAATCAGGTATAATCATTCTGTTGTGTTGTTATTTATGGAATTTTTATTCTTGATAATATAAGCAATGAAAGTGAACGTATTTTTATGTATACTAAAATTAATTTAACTACATTATGTTGAAACTTGATGCACGACGAATGGTTAAACTGACGAGCACTTGATATATGTCTTGTAAGTGATGCAAGGAATTGAACAATGCACAGCAACCACAATGAATTATACATGTCAAATAATAAGAGGTTAATACACGACACAGTCGGACCAGAGGGTGATAATCGGCCAGCAAATTGAATAATGACCCCTATTATTCATTTAGCAATAGAATATGAAAAAATAACATGTTGTTATGTTACTGTTACTGATAAATATTTTTATCATAATGTGAATTATAAAAATGTAAACAATTAACAAAAGAATATTGATGAAACATTTTTGCAAAGGGAATTCTTTAATCATGTAATGAAATGCAGAACTAAAGAGAAATGGTTAACGTTAAACGTATTCCACATTGATCTATGAGATTTAGTGGAAGCAGCAATAACAACATGGCGACAACGATACCCTAGTCACAATTTAAATTGTGATGTCAGTGTGTCATGAATTGTGTTTCATTTTTTAAATATGTGGAAATATTACGTGTTTCTCGTTATCAATCACTTGATAGTCAAGAGGAAGTGTATTTCTTAAAATGTTTCCATTTATCTATGACATCTGCTTTTCGTCCGCATTCAAAAATAGTCCGGCTTCTGTGAGAAAAGACAATTTAACTGTAAAATTATCCCCAAAAATTTTCCATTGAAAAATCATGCAATAAATTTATGTGTTAAATATACAAAAGTCATATCTTGATAAATTCAGCATGTGATGCTGGTTTGTATGGTTGGAACTGTAAGAAAACGTGTAGTGAGAATGTAAGGGTTGAAACAGATATTGTGATCCGACTGCCGGACATTGTAAAAATGGTTGTAAACAAGGTTTACCCGAGGTAAATTTGATTAAAAATATAATTAACGTGATTCTTTAAAAATGATATTCATTCGTTATAATTTTGCTAAATGTTTACCAGTACTTGTCACATGCATATATTTTTAGAAACGGTCATTAAAATATTTTATATATCTAAATAGTACAATGAAACTATCTTGATAAATTAAGCATGTGATGCTGGTTTTTATGGTCGAAACTGTAAGGAAAAGTTTAGTGAGAATTGTGATGGCGGAAACAGAAATTGTGATTCGACTACTGGACATTGTAAATTGAGTTGTAAACCAGGTTGGATTAACCACAGTGTACCCGCGGTAAATTCGATTTATAAATAGAATTAAACAAATACTTCATATAGACGTCTTTCAACACCTTTTCACAGCTTGCGATGGAAGTAATTATGTTCTGGCATGTTTGGCTGGAAATCACATTTGTGTGACCAAGGTAATATCAAGTTTTAATTTTATAAACCATGTTTTTAATTTTATTTTATCACTTCAGCCATTTTTCTATCACCAAATACAACAAAAATATCTAATGATCATTTATATTAACATCATCATACATAGTCGGTGTCTGGTGTATCTTTCTATTGATAATTCTTAGCTGAGCTGTATCCGCATTGTATTTTACTGCCTGTGGTCTTCATGAACAATGACGATGACGATAACGACGCTCTTTCCTAACAATATCTATTACCTAGTGTTTTTTAATATTCAGCTGTGTGCAGGTGGGCTTTGACAGATATCTCTAACAATGACCCTCACAGACATATGGACATATCCGTAATATGTATGTCAACCAGAAATTATCTTTCGGCTGTTGTCATTGAGGTCAGACTTAATGATTAACAAAGAAACCAACTCTTTTGACAAGTGTTGTGTTTTTCTTTTAACAAACTGTTGTTTTAAAATATTAGGGGTGTATTAAGGGTATATGTACTTTAATTAGCAAGGAATTTGGACGATTTGTTTTAATAAAACATATTATTTACTACAGTGTTGATTTCTGATAAGCACGTGGTGTACGTCTTGTTTTAAGTAATGATTAAAATGCTTTGATGAATCGGATGTTGCGATATTTTTTTCCGTGTGTATATAAGTGAAACAGTGAATTTTCTGTAGTCCTCTTGATGCGTGCTGTTTCAAACCAGTAAAAATATTTCCATCGTAATGTAAACAAAGTTTTTATTTTTATAGGACTACAAATCTAAATAACTCAAACTCATCTGAACCTAAATAATATAAACTAGGAGATAAATCTCACAAAATTGAAACGAAAAATTACAGCTATTAAGTTTTGTTAATAAAATATTACAAGTAATTATTTATATACTTTTATGACAATTAAAAATTCGCGTGTTGCGATACATTTTGTCGAGAGCTTAAAGCAGCTGACCTCCAGAAGATAGCAGAAAAACTGCTGTCTTGCTAATATTTCAAAATCCCCCCTCAAAAACATTATATAGTTGAAAGAAATCGAAATGACACTTCAAAATGTTCATATTTTAACATTATTGCTCTGAAAACAAACAGTTCGCTTTTCCACCAACGGGAAATACCTTCTTTTATTATACCACGGAATTCTTTCATCCGGGTTTTTTCTAGTATCACGTGATCGTACAGGACAATATCGCGACCTGTGCTCCGGAACGCACGGAATCCGGGATTTTATCAACCATATAGGGATACGAATAACTGCTTTTGTTTTTATATTTGTAGTAATTCATGAAACTAAAAATTATAATTTATCAATTATTTCATATATATGATGACCAATTTATCGATTTAACCTTTAGCTTGAAATGTGATACAGGCCTACTTAATGACGAAAAATGATAAACGATCCCAGGCATACCGGATACCGGGATTTTCCCTCATCACTGTTGTGACACGTGACCGCGTTAAATGAATTATCTTCTCCTATTTATATTGGCTACTGCGTTAGTAACGTAGTAAATTATGGAAAAGAAAACCAGATATATTAACGCTTTTGTCAACATTCTTTCTTGAAATAAAGTGTCAGTAATGATGGATTTATAAAATAATCCTAACTAGATCAGTATTTACCATTTACTTGAAATTTTATTTCATTTCTTTTTCATTTTACCATCTGGATGTCAGTGGCTTTAACGGTAAATTTTCTGTTGTTTTCTAATGGCGTCTTGCTTTAAACCAGAAGAAATATTTCAATTGTAATTTAACCAACAGCTTTTGTTTTAACAGGACCACAATGTTAAATAAAAACAACACATCTTAACTTAAATAACGAACAGTAAAATAAGTCACACAGAAAAATAAAAACTTGATATTACCTTGATCACACAACGGTGTTTTCCATCCATCCATGCATCCATATGTGCAGCGTCCGTTAACATTGATGCAATATCCGTCTTTACAATGGCCACTGCACTTCTTAGAACAGTTCTCACCATAATAACCTTCATCGCAACCTGTATCATCAATATAATTTTGTGATCAAGATTTCAATAGAAGGCAATCAAATGATTTACAATTACTTCCAATGTTTTTGTCTTATATGTGGATCACTATTTTGTTCTGTGTTAAGCAGCACAGCCGATATCATAATATACCTTTTTTAATTAATATATTCGGTTAAGTTTTTGTTCCAGTACACAATGCCTAATGCAATAATTTGAATATATCTGATCAAGAAAACAGTGTAATCAGTGTAATCTTTTTGACAAATATGTATTATAATAAAAAACTAAATAAAGTTGTTCTCGATGCTATTTTTTTTTTGGTTTTGTGTGATCCTTTACTTTAGACAATTTCAAGTATGGGTATTTTTCGACCGATTTTCTCGCAATATTACCGATACGTCAATATCAAGTGATTGTTGTAGGCTGACAATCACGTATGAGAAGGTTGATTTGATACAGATAAAGAAGCCAATGATCAATAAACAAAAATACGTTATTAACTTTACCCAAAAATCTTTGTAACCACACATAAAGTACTGCAGGTCAAGGTAAAGATTACACGATTTCTTGTTTTTCACATATATTTCACATAACTTTATAATTTTGACACGCTAATTTAAAATTTTACAGGGATGGACTGAATTTAAAATTGAAGAACATTTTCTCATTTTGGATTGAGATAAGTAGTAATCATTCAACAAATTTTGATATAATTAAAATATATATTTACACTTTTTAATTAATTTTACTTACCTGGATTACAGTTTTATCCAGATTATCAATATTTTCTAGAAAATGTACGATTAATATTTTGTTATAACAATTGTAAGATGTATGTTTTTATAAGTTTTTATGCATTTAATGTAATCATTGATTATTCTTTAATAATATGATTACAATATTGAGTTTCTGCCTACTAGTTGTAGCCAGTGACTACGTAAATGTGGATAATCAACTACACCCAAATTAAAATTATCCCCTTAAAAACGTTTAGGTTTGTTTGTATTGTGTTGTTAGAAATATATTAACAGAAAAAAACGTTGCTGTAATACCTAAAAGTTTTAGCGTTGTTCAACAGATAGTCAAATGGGACTGTAACTATCTAGAAACCACATAACATTTAAAATTTAGAAGATCAGGTTTCATATCAACTCTCGTAGCAATTTGAAAACAATATTGCGAACAGAGGTACTCAATTAGTACCTATCGAGTACCCGTTAGAAGAGCCCATTCACAAACTTATGTTTTTCAACGCTCATTAACGCTCTTTCACAAGTATACATGATATTATATTTGCTGTTGATAAAGGGATCCATTTGTGAAAATACTTTCTCTCTTGTGTTTCTCTTTAATTAAGAAAGTAATTCTAATTCATTTAAAATAAGCATAGTTGGTGAGGCAGCGCACAGAAATATGTACAGAAGTGTTGATGGAGAAAGCTTGCTATTGTCCTTTTCTTTTATTGATTTGCAGGAATATAATGTATATTTCCATTGTATTTTAGGTTTAAACCAACATAGTGCGTTTGCGACCAGAATGAACCAGAACAAAATCGTTAAGAAAAGTCGTTAAGAAAAGTCGTAAACTGATACAATTTGATTTTCAAAAATAAGTTTGAAACATCGGAAGCACTTTCGCCCTTCCTTGTTAATCTTTTTCGCATATTTGTGCATCGACACAACTATAGCGAAGACTTCCGTTAAGTCCGTATTCAATTCTTTTTTGTACGTTACTTGCGTCTACGTGTTATTTTTGTTTTCATTTCAGTTCAATAAATTAACGGATGCATCCGCGACTCTATTTTACCTGTAACAAAGGCAACAAATTGAGTTACTTAAAAAATTATTTACAGCACTTCCAGGCACTTTTTAATTTGCTTTAATTAAAATAGCAAAATTTAACTCACTATGCGCTAATATGACTCTTTCGGTGTCTGATCTTTCCTATGCTTAGAGTCATGAGACAATTTAACAAGACAAATTTAGGGTGCATGCGAGATTGATATGTAGATATAAAAATGGACAATGATGCAGAAGAAATTATAATAAAGCCATTTAAAATGGAACACTTGACGTAAACCTAACGTCATCTTATAATGTCGTTGTTACGTTAGCATCTGCAAAGGGTATGGTGAAAAGGCATAGAAGAAAATTGATAGCAGCGTATCTATATTTTTTTAATTCTATTTTTGTAATGAAATACAAAATGTCTATGATATTTTAAGTAGTAATAACAAACATTTATTACATTTTGTGTATCTTGTTAAACATTTTCTAGTGGTGTAAACGAACGAAACGGTCTGAACTCGTATATATAAACTAGAACCTAGAAATTGTTCTTCTTTAATACACGTTTTTTAAACAAATTGAATATTATGATGTGTAATCATTGGTTGGGTTTACCTGCTTAATCTATAAAAAAGTAGTACACGAACAATATTTAATTTACAGTAATAAAATGAAGCACCTATAGATGACCAAGCAAATGAAAACATTAAAGGTCACTTAACACTGTCAAAAAATAAAGTAATAATAGTAAAAGATATGAAAATATCTTCATTTATCAGACACTTGATATAAAGTATTGAAGATTGAATAAGTACAAACGTTTTGCACAAGTCTCTCCTGTCCATCCTGGTATGCAGCCACTTGTACACCGCCCATCAGTATTGTTACATTCTTGTTTATCACAACGTTGACTACAAGTGTACGCACAACGTTGTCCGTACCATCCACTGGAGCATGCTGAGAAAAATATCAATAATAACTGTTATACACCTTTTAAAACATAACCAACAAGTTTTTAAGCATTTATACATGATGTTGCAAATCATTTTCTGCTCAAGTCTTATTAATTCAGCCCCGTTTTTATTTTCAGAATCCATATCAAATAAATATCGTCCTCCATCTAACCTCATTTTCATATTCAGGGTAAAAAATATCTTATGAAATCTATATTGTCTTTGAAATTACAAAGTACTGTCAAAATGATGATTATATGCTCAAATTTGATATTTAAAAGTATTAAAAATTGCTACATTGTCTCTTTATAAAGTTTATAAATATAAAATCAAAATAATTCGACATCTGCGGATGTTTCTAAATTCAAAATTTCACCATTTGCATGTTTTAATTCTGCTTAAGCCGGTGCAAGGGCGAAAGATTGATAACGAGAAACACGTAATATTTCCACATGTTTAAAAAATAAACCAAATTCATGACACACGGACAACACAATTTAAATTATGATTAGGGTATCGTTGACGCCTGGTTGTTATTGCTGTTTCCACAAACTATCAAATATCGATGTGGAATACGTTTAACGATAACCATTCCTCTTTAGTTCTGCATTTCATTATATGATTAAAAAATTCCCTTTGCAAAATGTTTCATCAACATTCTTTTGTTAATTGTTTTCATTTTTATAATTCACATTATGTAAAAACAATTTATCAGTAATATCATCAGTACAACATGTTATTTTTTCATATTCTATTGCGTTACTAACGTATACGCTGATATAAATAAAAAGTTAATTCATTCAACATGGTCAAATGTCAAAGCATTTTATTCATAAAGCATATATCGGACATAATAATTCCGTAGCATATTTAAAGCAACTATATTCAAATGGTGGGAAAGCGATATGTCTGTATATAAACGAAAAAGGTTAATTACAGGTAAATGAACGTTTTAAAGCAATATTTCAATTAAAAAAATATTTTTGTGTATTTGAAGAGATATTTTGATATGGATAGGTAAAATATCACTTTAACACTATTTCAAATAATTGCATTTTAAACTGTTTTGTGTAAAAACTTAATTTTACTAAGAAGAATAATAAAAAGAGACTTTATTCAGTAATTTGAAAGAACAAAAAAGATGAAAATAAATTAATAAATAAATAGATAAATGAGGGAAACCATGTTTTTAGTTTTTTTATCACTTCAGCCATTATTCAATCACCAAATGCAACACAAATATCCAAATATCATCTATATTAATATCATCATACATAGTCGGTGTCTGGTGTATCTTTCTATTTCTTATCGCATTGTATTTCACTGCCCGTGGTCTTCATGAACAATGACGATGACGATAACGATGGTCTTTCCTAAATTTTTCTTGCATATCAGACAGGATTATCTACCGATTACACCGGTGTTAGAAAACAGGCATGTAAGACAGTTCGAGTGCTTTAAATGACGTCATTGACGCGCGACTTTTATGAATGAATTATGTTCTTAAGATGACGTCACTTAACCGTTATGAATGAAGTTTTAAGTTTATACGCTACTATAAGAAAAAAAGTTCGTTATGAGCATATCCGTTTTCGTAATTTCTGTTCTGAAAATAATTGATATGTAATATGCAAGAAAAAGAATCAAACACCGGGTTTCGGTGCAGACGGGAATATGTAGCTCTCGGGTAACTGTTAAGCGGAAACTCGGCAGAGCCTCGTTACCGCCGTAAACAGTTACCCTCGAGCTTGATATTCCGCTTTGTACCGGCAGCCAGTGTAAGATTCTTATAATCTGTTACCTAGTGTTTTTTTAATATACAGCTGTGTGCAGATGGGCTTTGACCGATATCTCTTACAATGACCCTCACAGACATATTGACATATCCGTTTTATGTATGCAAACCAGGCTTTATCTTTCGGCTGTTGTCATTGAGATTATTTTCAGACTTAATGATTAGCAAAGAAACCAACCCTCTTGACAAGTGTTGTGTTTTATTTTAACATACTGTTGTTTTAAAATATTAGGAGTGTTTTAATGATATATGTACTTTAATTAGCAAGGAATTTGGATAAAACATAATATCTACTACAGTGTTGGTTTCTGACAAGCACGTGGTGTACGTCTTGTAAGCAATGCAGAGATTCATTTTATAAATATATTTGGTACTTTTAAGTAATGATTAAAATGTTTTGATGAATCGGATGCTGCGATATTTTTTTCCGTGTGCAAATTAGTGAAACAGTCAATTCCTCTTGGGGCGTCCCGTTTTAAGACAGTAAAATATTTCAATCGTAATATAACAAAAAGGTTTTTACTTTTATAGGACTACAAATCTGAATTACCCAAAATCATCAAAACCTCAATAATATCAACTGGGAGATAAATCTCACAAAATTGAAACGAAAAATTACGCTTATTAAGTTTTTGTTAATAGATATATTTCAAGTAATTACTTATATAATGTTATGACAGTTTAAAGTCGCGTGTTGCGATATATTTTGCCGAGTGCTTAACGGTAAATTTTCTGTTAATTTCTAATGGCGTTTTGCTTTAAACCAGTAAAAATATTTCAATTGTAATTTAACCTACAGGTTTTTTTCTCACAGGACCACTATGTTATATAAAACTAACACATCTTAACTTAAAAAAACGAACAGAAAAATAAGTCACACACACACAAAAAATAAATAAAACCTGTTATTACCTTGGTCACACAACGGTGTTTTCCACCCATCCATGCATCCATATGTGCAGTGTCCGTTAACATTGTTGCAATATCCGTTTTTACAATGGCCGTTGCACTTCTTAGAACAGTTCTCACCATAATATCCTTCATCGCAATCTGTATCATCAATATAATGTTGTGATCAAGATTTCAAGAAAAGGCAAGCAAATGATTTACACTTACTGCAAAACTTTTGTCTTATATGTGAATCACTATTTTGTCGTTTTTTCAGCAGCACAGCTGATATCATTATATACCTTTTTAAATTAATATATCGGTTTAGGTTTTGTTCCAGTACACAATATCTAATGCAATAATTTTAATATATATCTGATCAAGAAAACCATTAGTGTAATCTTTTTGACAAATATATATTCATAATAAAAAAAACTAGGTCAAGTTGCTCTCGAATGCTATTTTTTGGCTTGGTGTGATCCTTCACTTTTGAAAATTTCAAATATTGGTATTTTTCGACCAATTTTCCCACAATATTACGAAAACGTCAATATCAAATGACTGTTGTAGGCTGACAATCACGTATGAGAAGGTTGATTTGATACATATCGAGACGCCAATGGTGAAAAAACAAAAAGACGAAATTAACTTTACCCAAAAATATTTGTTACCACACGGAAAATAGTGCAGGTCTAAGATAAAGATTACATGATTTCTTGTTGTACACATATATTTCACATAATTTAAAATTTTGACACACTAGTTTTAAATTTTACCGGGATGGTATGAATTAAAACTGAAGAACTGAAGCTCATTTTGGATTGAATTTATAAGTAACCTTTCAACCCATCTTGATATAATTTCAAAATCATTACACTTTAAAAAAATAATTTTACTTATCTAGATTACAGTTTTATCCAGATTATTAATATTTTTTAGAAAATGCACGATTAATATTTTGTTATCACAATTGTAAGATATATGTTTTACAAGTTTTTATGCATTTAATATAATCATTGACATTCCTTAACAATATAAATATTTAGTCTCTGCCTACTAGGTGTAGCAAGTGATTAAATGTGGATTATTAACTACACCCAAATTAAAATTATCCCCTTAAAAACGTATTAGTGTGTATTGTATTGTTAGAAATATATTAATAAAAAAAAAAAAAACAAACGTATATATATATTTATAACAGAAAAGTCAAATTAGACAAAATTGAAATTTTGTTAAGAAAGAAGAATAAGGAATGAACTCAACATAACAACTAAACCTTAGAATTCGACACTTTCGCCCTTCCTTGTTAATCTTTTTCTCATATTTTTGCATCGACACAACTATAGCGAGGTCTGTCCGTTATGTCCGTATTCAATTCTTTTTTACGTTACTTGCGTCTACATGTTATTTTTGTTTTCATTTCAGCTCAATAATTTGACTCTATTTTACCTGTGACAAAGGCAACAAATTGAGTTACTTAAAAATTTATTCGCAGCACTTCCGGGCATTTTTTAATTTGCTTTAATAGAAATAGCAAAATTTAACGTCACGGACGCTTCACTTTTGAAAATCGCCTGTAGATATTATAAACATGTCATCAGAAGCCACACTTAGCCTATTTTTCCGTTTAAAGGAGACACAGGCAAAATTCTCATTTTTTCATTATGAATGTTTTCATTCATTATTATGTATATGTCCTCAAAATGAATACAATGGGCAGTCACAGGCAGAAACGTTTCTCCTCATAAAGAATAAAATGATTGTTTTCTAGCCCTCTTGAGTCAGGTCAGAGCGTTTAGACCTTATAAAATTTGTCACAGTGAACTCTAGAAACGTTAAAGAACATGTCAAATGAATGACTTATACTTGTTTCAATCATATAATTTCAACACTATCTGTTATTGTAACTTCAAGGGTTTGTTCAAGTCACACGACTAGTTTTATTCGGCGATTTTGTCGTCCTCTAAATTTCGTTCAACGTATACAGATATATTTACGCTTCAAACCCAAAATATATAGAATTTATACATGAATTCATGCTAGGAGTTTATAAAATGTCATTTTAGAATGATTCAAGTACATAAGATCAATTTAATATTTTTGTCAATAATTCGCCTGAGTATCCCTTTAACGGTTTACATATGACAAAAATACTCTCAAAAATCGACTAAAGACGATACTAGATCTGGGTTTCAGGCATATACGCGGATTTAGTTGACTTTGTGAAGGTGGTCTTAGAAGAGGATTGTATAGTCAGTATAAGGGTATTTTTTTGCAAAGGTGTTAATCATGAAGGATAAGCTGATAGTGAAGAAGGTTTGTTCTTGATGGTTGTGTCAACGTTCAAAGTGTGAGTAACAAAGGCGATCATGCGGGGGTTGAGCCACGAAGGGTACGTCTAGTTCTTTAAAGAATTATAGCAATATAAATAAACTTATTTCATCAGGAAACAAACGAAAATCGTCTGAGTGTCAACAAACAAAGTATTTCCTTCCACTGAAGGCAAAGTATTAAAGTATGTTCATTATGGCGCGACGAGGGATATTGTGAAGGCATGCAGTTACACATGGTCAGTCCGTGAATGCTAACGTTTTTCTAAAGAAAAATTGGTTTTCCCCATTTTTTCTTTGTTACATTGTTTTGAAATTTTTTACCTCTTAGAGTCGTGAGACAGTTTAACATGACAATTTTAGGGTAATGTGTATGTAAGATTTATATGTAAATATAATAATGGGCAATGTTGCAGAGGAAAGTATAATAAAGCCATTTATAATGGAACATTTGAAATGATCAAACCTAACATCGTTGTGACGTTAGCATCTGCAAAGGGTATGGTGAAAAGGCATAGAAAAAAATTGATAGCAGCGTTTCTTTTTTTTTAATTCTATTTTTTTTTAAATGTAATGCAAAATGTTTCTGATATTTCAAGTAGTAATAACAAACATGTATTAAATTTGTTGCATCTTGGTAAACATTTTCTAGTGGTTTAAACGAACGAAGCGGTCTGACCTCGTATATATAAACTAGATCCTAGAAATTGATCTCTTTCAATACACGTTTCTGAAAAAAATTTGATTATTATGATGTTTAATTATTGGTTGGGTTTACCTGCTTAATCTATAAAAAAAGTAGCACACAAGCAATATTTCATTTACAGTAATAAAGTGAGAAACCTATAGATGACCTAGCAATTGAAAACATTAAAAGTCACCAAACACTTTTATAAAGAAATTAATGATAATATGAGATATGAAAATATCTTCATTTATCAAACACTTGATATAAAATATTGAAGATTGAACGAGAACACACGTTTTGCACGAGTCTCTGCTGTCCATCCTGGTATGCAGCCGCGTGTACACCGTCCCATCAAGGACAAAACATGTAATTCATGCGGCATTTAGTTACTTGTTCTATGTAAGGGTTTTACATTAAGAATAGTAAATTTCAACTCCGGTGTATTCACGTACTTCACTAGCAACCATGGTAATCATGTAACACAATTGACTATTGCACGAAAGTGTTTTTTCCCATAATCCACGATCTAGAATTTCAGTATTTTTAGTGATCATGCATCATTGCTTTTTAAAAACGTTGTGATTGTACACGTGATCTTGGATAATCTGATATAAATTTGACCTCTTCGTATTATAAATGGAAAATAAGAGAAATTTACATTACCAAATAAAATGTCTGTAAATTTAACAGAATTTGAGCTCGACACCCCATCGTCACTTCTTGCGATTATTCAAACGACATGATTATAACAAGACTTATCTATTGATGATATTTCAAACAGTATTTCTGTTTTTATTTCAGTATTTCTGTATTTCTGAAGCGTTATAAAGCTTCATATCCAGTTGACTATTTACAAAATGAATATATTTTAAATGCAATTGTCATTTAAGACGGTCACCTAACTGATTTATTTAAAATTGTGTTTTTTATTCCGATGTCTTTCCAGAAAAATGGGTTCGATGGTTAATTATACCACAACGTAATAAAATGTGATGTGAATAACGTCAATAATTATCGTGGTATAACGATATAAAGTAATCTCAATAAACTATTCACGGGTAGAATTTAGATTGATGAGTCGTTAAGTGGTGAGTCAAACAAGAAACATCTTTAAACAAGAAGGCCATTATATTATGGCCCTTATATCGATCAGCTGGTTATGAACGCTCAATTTCATTTTATTTGGACTATGTGACCTAGTTTTTAACCAAACATTGACGTAGAAATCACCACAACAATCTTTCTAACTGATCTCCAAGATATTTGGATCAACACAATAGGCCCTAGAGTGATAACAAGATTTTTTTCAATACTTGGGCTGTGTTACCTAGTTTTTGTTTCCAGATGACCAATAAACTGACATACAAATCATAAAAACAACCTTTTAGACCAAGTTCAAGGATATTTGGAGCAAAACAGTAGCATTTAGAGTATTTAAGAGATTTTTCCATATTAGGACTGTATGGCCTAGTTTCTGAACCCAAGTGACCCATCTTCGAATTGACCTAGAAATCATTATAATAATAAGAAATCACTAAACCCACCTTACTGCCCATTTACCAGAATGTTTAAATAAAAAAAACAGCCTCTAAAGTGTTTACAAGGTTTTTCCGAACTTCGTCTAAAAATTACAAATCGTCCTATAACCAATTTCCAGAATATCTGGATCAAAATAATAGCATCTGAGGTGATAACATGATTTTTCTATTTTGAGCTCTGTGACCTAGTTTTTCATCCGAGATGACCTATGTTCGAACTTATCCGCAAGCATCTTGACAAAGTTTGATGACAATTGAGTCAAATATGCAACCATTATAGTGTTTACAAGGTTTTATTTATACTTTGGCTGTGTGACCTAGTTTTTGACTACATGTGATCTATATTCAAAGTTGTCTTAGAAACCATCAAAACAAATTTTCAGACCGTCGTTTTTCAAGAATATTTGGATCAAAACAGTTGCCCCTAGAGTGTTTCAGCTCCTGCGACCTAGTTTTTCATCCGAAACTTAAACTTAAATGGGTAAAAACTTTCACTAATGAATCAGAAGCAAACTGGGAATTAATTCCGAAACACCTACTGAAAGATTTAGGTGACAATTTTTTAAATATTTTATTGTAATACGGACACTAATAAAGTCTCAATTGTAGTAATGTGACTAAATTTTATCAAGAACTTATTAAAATATGGATAAAAACTCGCGATTTACATAAAAAAATCAAAATTTGACATTTGAAAAAATAATAGAGAAATAGATCAAAATGTTATTTTAAATAAGCTAGTAGATAAACGGAACTGCGTCGTTGAATTAAACTTGCTCTTTTAAGCTAAACCTCTAGCCTGGAAACAAACTATGAAAACGTTTCACTCTTCGCAAACAAAAATAAAAACAGAAAAACCTCTTAAGATAATAACAGACTTTTTGAATTGATGGATTCAAAAACAATATATCAAATATTAGTAAACAAAGTATTCATTTAACCCGCTACACATTCGTATTGGTCAAATACATATGAAAGAAAACTGAACTGGAATGATATATATAAATTCATTACAAGAATTCCTGATAATCGGTATAAACAATTCAAATTTAGAGTAATTAACAAGATCTTTACAAGCAAAAAAACGCGCTATAAATGGAAAATGGTCTCATCTCCACTCTGTAATAAATGTAATAAAATAGAAGATTATCAACATCTTTTTATCGATTGTATGGCAGTAAATGTATTTTGGGAGAAAATTTTATACATTTTTCAAGGGTGCTGAATTCAAAGAAATATACGTAAACTCGACATACTTATTTTCGGTTATAAAATATCTCAAGAACAATACTTTTACATAAATGTTATACTCACCATTGCAGGATTTAGTATTTATAAAGCTTACTTTTGTAGTAATAATTGTTCAAATGAATTCAACATATTAAAACCGTTTAAAACAGAATTCGAAATAATATATCAATACTATAAATACAAGAAGACAAAAGTTAATTTTTGACAGAATACTCCAACTTTTAAAAGATATATACTAACCACCAGATGATTTCAAGCTTTTTTTCACTTTGTGTGTATATGTATGTTGTTACTCTATTACATATGAATATCTCAAAATGAAGTTGTTAAATTATCTCATTGTATATATGTATAATTATGTATAATATTTGTGAATAAAAAAATGTTTTTCATCCGAGATGACCAATGTTGGAACTCATCCAAGCAATTATCTAATCAAATTTCCTGACAAAATTTGATGATGAATGAGGCAAAAGTGTGATTACAAACAAAATTTAATGTTGGCGACGACGGACGACGGACATTCAACGATTCCAAAAGTTCACCCTGAGCTAACTAAGGTGAGCTAAAAAGATTCTCGACCGAACAAAAAACTGGTTAACTTGCATTTATTAGTTCTTAGTTTTCCGGACAAAGACATAGAGAAATGCATAGCTTGCATAACAATGACATAACATTTTCTTGTAGGGTTATAAATCTTGAAAAAATGAAACGCTTTAAGATGAATGTGTTTCTAAACAAACCTGTTGTTTTTCTGTGAAATAATTATAAACATTATATCAATTGAACAGATCAATAATCATTTAATTTAATAAAACACTTATCGAACATCATAATCTAAGGGTGCATGGTAGTTCTGATATTATTCTTCTTATTTTGGACAAATTTTAAAAAACTCAAATCATGTGTTATATAAACTCATTTAAGTCTTACGTAAAATAATCTGTTGAGAATGAAATGAGATCTGAATGCAAGAATTTTGTTAAACAGAACTAAAATAGTAGTTTAGTGTAATTGCAGAAATTAATGGAGCGAAACTCAAACGACAAAGACGTCGTTTACGTTTATTGAATGCCGCTTTTCCTTGTTTACCCATTACTGCATGAGCAATTTGCGAAACATGGCTATTTTCATTGAAAACTCCCGTTACAAGTTCACTTTTTTATAAAAACTATAAAAACTGCTTCAATACTATTTAAAGTTGACATAAATGTTGACTGGAACATTGCCTTTGTAACAACATGCTCATTTGTAAATTTCCTGTTACCGTGGCAACGAGCGGACATCTCAAAACTGCCACAAATTACTATTTTGCTTTATTTTGTCGATCAAAATTGATTTCTAAGTGCTGTAAATTCTCAATGGATTGAGATAGACTCAAAAGCTTTTCATCGTTGGTTACACGTAACCTTATGATCGATCTGGGCTCACTTTTAGCCTCTCACAAGTTCAAAATTCCCTTCAAACCCCCAAACAGAAGGGGACACAGCATTTCTCGAACAAAAAAGTGTTGGGGGCCTAAATAAGGCATTTTTTCATCATTTGAGACAACAAAAAATTGGTGGTGGGTGGGTGTGGAAAAGGCGTTAAAAGGCGTGTATATCTGGTTATGGGTTAATCTTGTTTACCATGGTAAAATTTTAACAATGTTTACACATGAACAATATTGTAAAGTCGAGTATTAAATCTAAAAATGAATTCTCTGTTTTATGTTGTAATCGCGATGGGCTTACATCAAGGTCATACAAATTCGCCGACATGTTTTTAATGAAGACATCGAATCATTTTTACAACAAAATAATACCACTTGTCTTGTCATCAATGAAGTTTTAAATTGTTGATGACTTCAATTATTTGGAAGTAACATTGAATTACACTGGTACGGTTGTTTAGAATGTTAAAAGTCTCAAAGGCAAAGCAATCAGGGCAATGAACACATTTGTAGATATACGAGGATTGATCAAAAAGTTCTTGGACCGATGTACTTCCGGTAGTCAGAGAACCCAACTAATGGTCTAACTTCTCAATTTAATCGCCCCCTACACCAATGCACTTTGCCCATCTGTGCCCCAACCCTTTAAATAAGAACTTTCTATATTGGTCCTCATAGAACTCATTGACCGCCTCCATTACACCTTCATTGCTTGAGGAACGTCTACCACGAAGCTTTGTCAGAGTCAGAGGGGCCAAGTTTAAAGAATATGGGGGATGGGGAAGAATTTCAAAGCCGCAGTCAGTTGCAGCAGCCATCGCACATTGGGACGTGTGAGCTGGCGCATTGTCGTGCAGGAGCAAAATGCCTGGAGGCACTTTGCCCCACCTTTTGCGCGATCTCCTGACGCAGACGTCTCAATTCGTCTGCAAAGTACCTACCGTTTATGGTACGACCTTGCTCAAGATAAATCAAAATATTATGTTTAAAACCTGAGCATGTACAAATTAAATGATTTATTGTGTTCCAAAAAGAAAAAGTCTTGTTAGATTTGGAAAATTTTATATCACACACATTAAACGCAAGGACTTAAATCAACCGAATCTTTAGACATAATTATAAAAAATGTTATCTTGTTGGTAAAATTATTTTATTTCCTTTTTATTCTCTATGTATTGTTAATGTATTTGTATAATTGTATTACGTTTTGCTACGGAATAATGTAAAGTGTGATTGTCACTACACGTTTCCCGAAAGTTTCGACGATAGAAATCAGCATCACAGGCTTAAGTTATCAAGATAATGTTTTTTGATACATTTTAGATATTTGGTTTAAACATATTTATCTTTTATCAGGTTACAATACTACACATCCGACACAAATTTATACAAAATCATGATAAAGTGGATTGAACTGGAACCTCAAAACTTATTGTAATTTTCTCCACTTCTAGCTAGACATCGCAATACAGATGATTAAATAAATTGGGACATCCAAGATAAGTATGTTAACATTATTATACGAAAATAAGACAAAATTTAAACAATTCATTTTTAGATATTTAAATATATATTAAATGACCGTTTGTAAATTTATATGCATGTGATCAGTACAAGCATGTTAAACATTTGGCAAAATTATCACAAACGGAAATCATTTTCAAATAAGTACGTTTATTCTTTTTATAAATCGAATTTACCTCGGGTACACTGCGGTTCAATCCAACCAGGTTTACAACCCTTTTTACAACGTCCGGTAGTAGGATCACAGTTTGTGTTTCCACTCTCACAATTCACACTACACGTTTTCTTACAGTCCCGACCATAGAAACCAGCATCACATGCTAAATTAATCAGAATATTACTATTGCATATTTAACACATATAAATTATTAAAAAACATATATATTTCCACATACCCTGTTAAAAATGAAACCAAATTCATGAAATATCACAGAATTATTTTCAATATGAACATTGTAATGAAATCACATGGCGTAACGAAGAAATATTCGGTCAAATAAATTTTCTGTCGGGTTTTACCTCGCACCAACACAGTAAAGGTCATGTGGCGACTTTCCAGCTTTACTGGAGGAAGACCTCAGGTGCCCTTCCATGCATTAAAATGTTGACTGAAAACTACTAAAACGCATGGAATAAATTAAAAATGTGTTTATTTTGCATGTAAAATCAGGCTACGCCGCTTGTGAAAATATTGCAGCTAGTGTTCACTCTGTGAGATTTATTTTAATCTTAAGCTGAGTTGTATCATTATTACATTTTGTAGTCTTCAAGAACAATGACGATGAGGACTTGTTCGATAGTCTTCTAATATGATCTGTTACCTGGTATTTTTAAATGAACAGCTAGATGTCGATGTTTTTTGATCAACATTTCTTACAATGACCCCTCACAGACATATCGATAGCGATACAAATAAACAAATATCAGCGTACTATTTTAAACATTCATTTCATTTCTATCAATTTTTATATTTATCTTAAGAGAAAGATTTACCCCCCGAAAACAAGACACAAAATAAGTATTCTGTAATTCTTTTCATTTTTACACATGTATATTATTTCAAACCTCGATGTAAAATGCTTCAGGATCTTTTTAGTATGTGTTTTCATTATTTTCGCATTATGGTAGTGCTATAAAGAAATAGTTTCTGAAATAAAGTATAGTATAACAATTCTTAAAGGTAACAATAATCATAACACACTATTGCTAATTATGTTAATTACATAAACTTGTAATTACGAGATACTTGTTGTGCAACAGCTTAAATTAAATTTAAAAAACTCAACAAAATCTCAATCACAGCAGACGTGGTTTTCATTTTTTTGAATTCGATGAAGTAACGATTAAGTTAAACAAAAAATGACTTTAAACGACATGATTTTAAAAAAAAATATCACAAAAATTTTAAACAAAATATTACTTTCACACAATGGTTCCTTCCATCCACGTCTGCATCCATCTATACAAGTTCCATTTACTGCATTGCAGTATGTATTCCCATGTTTACAATGGTTGCTGCATGTTTTAGAACAGTTTTGACCATAATAACCCTTATCACAACCTGAATAATAAATATGATAGCATTCTGTATATAGAGAACATTGAGTAAGTGTATGCTCAATACTGAACTTATTGAACGGATTAAATAAAATTATAGGCGAGCATAATATCATCTTATTCAATGAGTTCATTAAATTTAGAAAAAAAGTTTAACGAATAAAATATTGTATTTATCAAAATTATGAACCGTTTACGGAAAAAAGTACTTTTTTTATTGGAGCATCTATAGTGTTCACTAACATTTAGCATTTCTTTACGATATGTATGTAAAACGCAAATGACGTCATGTGAAAATATATACACGGCCGTACAATACCATTTTACGCAGTCACAAAAGTGGCTAGAGTGTGTTATTAAACTATAATAAACATGATAGTTAACTATACATTATTATTTTAAGGGACTCCACTGGTTTTTTTAGATGGCTGGACTGAGATTATTTTTCAAGTTTAATGTTCCCTTTGATGAAGATCTTGACCAATGACTTTTGTGCAAAAATTTAGACCATTAACTCGCTCCGTTTTTCAAGAATTACTATTTGTACTGTGGAATTTGACCCAAAATTGAAAAGCTTTTCATATTTTAAGTTTTATGTACCACTTTGATCTTTGTTAGAACTTAAAGAAATTCACAATTTAAATTCTTAGGGATTTTGGGACCTCAGTAATTTTTTTAAAGGCTAAAAATAATTCACAATCAATTTTAATGTTTTCACATTCATTCGTTGGTCCTTTTTTTTTATCGGCAAAACCGGACAGAGATATCATATTTAATGTACTCCATCAATAACAACTATATTTGTTAATTATTATCTCCTACTGCTGCTTACATTATATATAATGCATTGGTTTGAACAAGTCTGATTCATGCAATCTTCTTTACAAAAAGTTTGCCATTATTATAACACAGTAGTATAAGTTTGAAAATAAATATATATCGCAGCTTCTCATTATCCTTCACATTAAGATTTTTCAAATATTTGACTTGTTTTGAAAGATTTTCTCTTTGAAAAAATCTGTAAATTTGTAATTATAATATGTATTTGAATACTTATGATAATGATATCGTATGTTCATGACATTATTGAGTCCAGCACTCTTGAGTACCACTCAAGCCGAAGCAAGTGGGGGGGGGGGGGGGGGCGTGAGAGATGTTGCGTTCTATGAACCGAGTTCGCAATTTTTATGTTATTTTGCTGCTTAAATGCTTCCGATGGATCCTTTTTTTCCAGATATTAACCCATTACTTCATGAGCATTTTGTGAAAAATGGCTGTTTTCCTTGAAAAGTCTCCCGTTACAAGTTCAAATTGCTATAAAACTATAAAAACTGCTTCAATACTAATCAAACTTGGCACAAATGTTGACTGGACAATTGCCTTTGCAACAACATGCTCAGGCTTAAATTTCCTGTTACCATGGCAACGAGGGGACATCTCAAAATTGCCAAAAATCACTATTTTGCGTTGATTTTTTCCATCAAAATTGACTTCAAAGTGCTGCAACTTCTCAATGGATTGAGATAGAGTCAAATGCTTTTCAGCGTTGGTTACACGTTACCTTATGATTTATCTGGGGTCATTTTTAGCCTCTCACAAGTCGAAAATTTTCTTGGCGATGAGGGGGACTCCGCCCCCTTCAAACCCCCCAAACAGAAGGGGGCACATCCCCTTCTGGCAGCCCCTGATGTATCTTTTGGTTGGAGGCCGCGCCGAAAAATGGTCATTTTTTTAAAACAACATTTCTCAAACAAAAACAAGTGTTGGGGGCCTAATTAAGACATTTTTTCACCATTTGAGACCCCAAAAAGGGGGGGATGAAAAGGCGTTCAAAGGCGTATATATCGCGTAATGGGTTAACAGACAATGATGAAAATACTTGAAATTACCCAAAATTGCGTTTTTCCATGTTTAAACATAGCCTAACAGACAAATTTGAGGCAAAATTGTTGTTTTGTAGATTTTTTTATTTTTTTCATTAACCCATTTCTTCATAAGCATTTTGTGAAAAATGGCTGTTTTCATTGAAATGTCTCCCGTTACGAGTTCAAATTGCTATAAAACTATAACAACTGCTTCAATACTAATCAAACTTGGCACAAATGTTGACTAGACCATTGCCTTTGCAACAACATGCTCAGGCTTAAATTTCCTGTTACCATGGCAACGAGGGGACATCTCAAAATTGCCAAAAATCACTATTTTGCGTTGATTTTTTCCATCAAAATTGACTTCAAAGTGCTGCAACTTCTCAATGGATTGAGATAAAGTCAAATGCTTTTCAGCGTTGGTTACACGTTACCTTATGATTGATCTGGGGTCATTTATAGCCTCTCACAAGTCCAAAATTTTCTAGGCAGCCCCTGATATATCTTTTGGTTGGAGGCCGCGCCGAAAAAGTGGTCACTTTTTTAAACAACATTTCTCAAACAAAAACAAGTGTTGGGGGCCTAAATAAGGCATTTTCCCACCATTTGAGACACCAAAAAGGCGTATATATCGCGTAATGGGTTAAGTGCATTGCTTATAATATACATCCTGTAATTAAGAAATATAATTGATCTGAGCATTCACCCTCTCACCATCCCACTCATGTGTCTTAAATATAAGGTAAGCAGACAGATCTAGTCCAAGATTAGTAGCATTAGAGAACAACTTTACGATTTGGCCATGGAGAATATAGTGGTACTAATTATAGGCTAAGTTTTTGTGATCTAAATAATATTGCACTTTCAAGAATACAATCAAACCGAGCCTGCAACATTTTCAATTTTGTCGTGTTTGGCTTTTTCAGGAATTCTGATTTTTCTCTATTTCTAACTCAATGTTCCACTGCTTCTCTAACAGAACCACATTGTCTAAATCATGTTTGAATATTGGGGGTCTGATGAGAAATTAAAGGTTAAGTACACAGCAGTGTAATCTGCAAATAATCTGAAATTGGATTTAAGGTCAGAAGAAGATAGCTTGTTGATATAGAGAAGGAAACAAAGGGGCCATGGGACTGGTCCTTGAGGCATTCCAGAAGTTACTGGCACTTCAGATTGTGACAGTGACTACTGTCTGTCGACGGCAAATAAGAAAGGACTGTATCCAGTATAGAATTAGAGGGCAGACACCATGTTCTTGCAGGGTACTTAAGCGTTTGAAATGGTTTACTTTATCAAAAACTTTAGAAAAGCCATGAGATCTGTGTGTTTGCCATTCACAAGGTAGTTACAGTTAGTTCAATGGGGCTGTGTGTCACATGATCGCCTTTCTCTTAATCAATGCTGAAGTAAAGCGAGAGGACATTTGTGTGGCATCATTGTGTTCAAGTTTTTTTCAGAGAATGCAAGTAAGATAAATTGAGCGATAGTTTGCTGCATGACTGGCATCAACTTTTTGTTGACATTTGCACTGATCAAGTCATAGAGAATAAGGGAACTGAGATATTATGTCAACAATAGCTTCTTCTCTCAGCTGCTTCAGGACAATCAGTTTGTCTTTGTAAGGCTTTGTTGGCATCGAGGCTGGCAACGAGCTTTAGTTTGATGATTATGTCACTCATTTGCATGTACTGTCAATACCTTCTAAAGTCAAGAAATCTCAGATTTTGTATGCATGTCTCTTAAAGTGAGTGATATAATTGGTGAGAAACTGTCTGAAATTGTTTGTTAAAAATGCTTTTTTTCAGTGTTATTAATTTTGAGAAACCATGAGCTTTTTTTTTCTGGAGACACATTCCGTGAATGATATTTTTAGAGTTTAATTAGAGTATAAAATATTTGGTAAAAATTTACTTAGTGCATTAGGTTCATCATCATCAGCAAGATTCAGGATGTTTACATGTGATTGTTTAATTTCAGCTTTTATTTGAGATAAATGCTTGTTTAATTTTAGTCATTTATCATGACCTGACTTATAATTTTTTGTTTTAGTTGTTTTTAAAAATATTTTTAAAGAGTTAGTCTCTTTTATGTATTATTTTGTTTTAATGGATTATGTTTTCCTGGGCGAATTTGGTTAAGCCGTTATTCTTTCAGTGGGTATGAAATGTGATATGCCACCCTCAAGTGTGTTTTGAACTGGATCCAAAGGCTTGAAAACGACAGAGATTCAGTCTTTTGAAGTATTTCTGATGTTCAGGTTTAAATGAAAATGCTAGTCAGTACAGTTGGTATTTTTATACTATGTTCAAATACGAGGCTTTTATTTGAGGAGGGTAGACCTAGAAAATGGAGATGATGTCATGGTCTGATATACCTGGTATGATCTTGACATTGTTTACAAAAGTGAAGTATATTTCAAGAATATTGTAATGTCGTATAGTTTCATTGACCATTTGGAAAAAGATAGATATATCATTTTAATGCTGCACGTTTGTAATTTGTTTTTCATTGGATACTCGTGACGTTTAAATATTCTATTATACCCACAGCTGCTGTCAATTTATAAATTTATTTTATTTTCTTTACTCAGACAAAGAAAGTTTGTTTTATCATAAATTCGTCATGAAGATTCTTGGCAGGTTGTAGGGCTGTATATAAACGGTTGTTTAAAAGATCTTTATAACTAATAATATTCACCTGCACATAAAAAAGCATTCTGGCAATATTTTTCTTATAAATGAGCTGCGTGCTTAGGATGAATTCATATCGATTGTTATAAATAGAATATATTTTATTAATATTATTTACACAGTAATTGAGATATGTTTTAATGCAGATAAAAAAATGATCGTACATAAGTATAAATATTTTCAAAAATACACTCTGCCTAAGTAACATATTCTCAATTAGGAGAATCAGGAGACGGTTTTAAGCGGGAAAAGAAAAAACAGATTTAATGATGCGCACTACACAAATCATATAAAATCTTAAATACACGTACGCTTAGCGACATCTATTATGCAAAGATAATTGTGTGAGAGTTACTATTATATGAACTTAAGCATGCTTAAATTCCATGTACCAGTCACTTATCGTGATGTTAGGGCATTTAAAAATATACTTTAGAATACAATACAATTTTGCACAAGTCTGCTAATGATATTCTGCAAAAGCAGTGATACAAATATTTTGTTTCGTGTACTTTTGGAATAATCTCTATGGCATAAAATGATCGAGTCTTACCACTTATAGCTCTGATTGCAATTGGAATGACACTTGAGTTCACATTTTGTTTTCAAGCATCCCAACACAACATACTATACAAATCTGGACTTTTTACCTGGTGAATATGTCTTCATTTTTCAATATAATAATTATTATATCACATCGTAATCGTCAGGTAAAAAGTACATGTTATATTAGATAATCATAAATAACTTGTAGATGACTTATCAAATTGGCTTCTTAATGAGACGCAAATCGACTTTTCTTCTGTTCACTTTTCTGTATTTTTAAAAACTTGGCTGTGATATAATTATATTTAACGGCATTGCATTTGCAAAAATGCTATGCCAGCATTAATTCAACACTAAATAGTAGATACAAAAGTAGATTATTTCTTTATACAATTGAACTTAGCCATAATGCTTTAGTATCTAATTTATTTGGTGGTAAAGTCATATTTAAGCATGTCAAATGAAAAACAATTTGCAGATGTGTCTAATATTCAGATACAATGTCCATAGTATAATAATTGATTCAAAACAAAACTATTCTTACATCAATATTTAGGTATCACTATATTACATAGCTGTATTAAACTTTGAAATTTAGTTAAAGCTACTTTTGTTATATACTATCTTTTCAATTACCATTTTCTGAAAACATATAAAATTCTGGAAACAAAGTGATCCCTCGGAAGCATTAATCACAACAAAATAACATAAGAATTGCAGACTCGGTTTGATTGAGTCTGTACATGAGGGATAATGAACAAGTGCAACATCCCTCACGCCCCCTAGCACCGGCTTGAGCGGTACTCAAGAGCGGTACTCAATTCTCAACACTTTATAGTGTTGGCATCAATGATCCCGAAGGACCAGAAAATATAACAACACTGAAGTGAAGTATAAAACATTTACGTTTGAAAATCATATATTGTCTGAATCATTATTTTCTCTAATCATTTCATTAATATCTCTGCAAAGCAAACATTTCTCATGCTAGAGGCCATGACCTCAAATGTTTCATAAATATGTCTGAAAAGCAAACATCTCTATTGCTAGAGGTCATGACCTTTACACTAACTACCTTCTATTGAATATTTATTAGAACAATTGCATAACATGTACACATGTATGATAGACATTCCAATATGAGTTCTTTATCTATGATTTGAAGAATAACCATTACCTGTGGAAGGGGCAATTTTGACCCCAAAGCTATTTTTTGAAGAATCTTAATAGGGGCTCACTATGAATTGTTTCCCTTTCATTATTTATTATGATTGAAGAATAGCAATAACCTATGGTAGGGGCAATTTTGACCCAAATGCTATAATTTGAAGATTCTTAGTTATGTAGAATCTCACTATAAATTGTTTCCCTTTTATTTTTATTTATGATTGAAGAATAGTCATGTCCTATGGTAGAGCCAATTTTGACCCTAACGTTATAATTTGAAGAATCCTAATAGGGGCTCACTAGACAATGTTTCATGCTAAATATCTAAGCTCACACTTTATAATTTTAAAGATTTTTTTAAATTTTTAACTACAAAACATATAAGGAAAACGCATTAATCCCGGGCGGGTCCAAATTTGAACCCAGGGATATATTTGAACAATCTTGGTAGAAGTCTACAAGGCATTAATTTGTGCAAAATATTTATGCTCTAGACCTTTCACATTTATTCCTTTCGGTTGCCATGGCGGATTTCGGGAAACATGCGCGCGCACACACACACACATACGCACGCTCGCACGCACGTTTACACAAGTAAATCGCTATGGCATGAAAACGCACGTAATAAGTTTATACAGACGCCAACACCTATACACTACTCATTCTAGTATTTCGCATTGTCTAGTCCTACATTGCAGTGTCTAGTCCTACCTTGCGTCCTTTGGCGCTTTTCAAAAAAAATGTATTCTTCGGAAAAAAAACCCGGTTAATGTACTTTGAAAATCTTTTTTTCAGGAATAAAGACAGTGAATTTATTCTGATTTGACATAAAATACGTTTCTTCTTAAGCAATTGTGGAGAGGCATTTCAAAGTTATGTATTGACTATATGATTATATAAATTGTAACATGTTGTGCTAATGCGTATTTCATAAGACCTTAAGCGATCGCGATCAAAAAGACTAGATAATCCTTACATAAATTTGAATCTGGTAAACACTATAAGTTGTTCCTAATATGCATTAAATGTACATTATAGAATTTTGTATATTAAATGAAAACGGCCAATTATTGAATCAAAGGAATAATAGTTAATAAGTAAACTATATATGAACAATATATTTAAACGAAAATACTTTATTGACATCGTACGTCTTCTGATATTGTGTACATTACGGTGAGTATACTAGCATACATTTTTTATGCTATCACCCTACCTTCATAAAACAGACTTACCCTTTTTACACCTCTTTCCTTGGTAACCAGGCTCGCATCCGTTAAGGCATTTGCCATCGACATGATTACAATCACCCTGCTCGCAAGCTGAGGAACAATTCTTCTTACATTCTGCACCATACTTCCCAGGTGGACATTCTATTAAGTATCAAAATGTTTCCGTCATTCACAATTTATCAGACATTGACAATATCTATTTTATCATGCAACTACCATGGCAAATGCTCGAGAACTGTTGCATGATAAATACCTTTAAATATAAGGTTGGTAACATGAATATGGCCGACATATTTACAATGGACAGTTTTCAATATCTTATTTTCTCATTTTTACCTTTCAGCCTTTTCATATTCTGGCATTTTCTATCTCTTGATTAACCCGTTATATTTACTATTTTCATTGTACTTCAATGGTGAATAAATAAGACAGCAAATATGTACTACAAATAATGAAGTGACGTTATTCATAATTGTTTTGGATTTGACACCATCTGAACGCTGTGCAGTGCGTGATTGCTATTAGAAGACTTAAGCGGAGGCTCAACTGAATATGTTTCTTTGAACGTGCACTGTTTTAACAAGAAATATACTGGAAGATACCAATATTATTAACTATTTCTTTGTACAAAACATATAATATACAAACCTTGGTTGATAGCTATAACAAAAATTGACACTGATTGTGACAAAACATGCGGTCTAGATGATGCAACGAGATGTTGCACTCTGTATTAGATAGATCGTGAGAAAACATAATGTAAGTATGATATGGCTGAAATTTGATTATTCGGTTACGTGACTTTTAGTGAAAAATAATCTGGAAACAAAGTGATCCCTCGGAAGCATTAATCACAAGAGAATTACATAAGAATTGCAGACTCGGTTTGATTCAGTCTGTACATGAGGGATACTAAACAAGTGCAACATCCCGCACATGACAAGACGCACATGTTTGAGCTCTGGTATATTTTGTACATATTTAGGAATATACTCACTATACTGGCATTTTAAAAAAAAAGAAATGTTTAAATATGGAGCTCAAATCAGTAAGTGGTATTATTTGTGCAACGAATTTGTATTATTTGATACCTCTTCAATTTTAACAGAGCAGGATATACCTGTAGAAAAATCTCTCTTAGTACTGAGACGAAAGTAGTATCGAATAGTAACTGGTTAACTTAGAAACAAAAATTGTAAGTGTTGAGACGTGTCTTAATAAACTTGATTTGTTGGACCACTATGTTATGGTCGTGGATTTGCGGGAACTGATGATATAAAGGATAAGAAGAAGGCATGGTTTGTTTACGACACAGTTTACATACACGGGGCTCCAGTTAAATACGGAGAATGAACTGAGTATTCTTGTATGGAATTGAAATGAATAAACTGACACAAGACGTTCTGGTAAAGATTTTTTTTCATTTTAACTGAATGATATTATTGTTTTAAGTGAAATATGGACCAATAAAGATTCAAATGTGTCTATAGAAGGCTTTCATTGCTTTTATTTATATCGAAAGTTCAAACATAAAAGGGCAAGACGTAATAGTGATGGGATATCAATTTATATAAGTTAATGTCTCAATCAAGGTGTATCTATAATTAAGAATAATAATGACACTATTGTCCGGCTTAAACTTGATAAAGATGTTAATTTTGTTGTTTATATTCATGGCCGGATGAACTCCAATAGCAAATTGAGTAGACGCTAACCTCTTTGATGTCATAGAACAAGATGTTTTTAATTTTGAAAAATCAGGTCGAGTATATTTAGCATGTGATTGGAACTGTCGTATTGATAATAAACCTGACAATATCGTTTGTGACAAAATATTAGAAACCCGGACTTTTATGGTCCCCATAATCATTCCGTTAGGGTCTCGCTTGATACATTATGCCATACACGCGGACACAAAATTCTTGGCTTGTGTTAAGCAACCTGTTTGCGGGTAGCTAAAGGGAGATTATGCCAATTTCACAATTCTTGTGGTTTTACCTATTATAGCCGCGGCGCGCATAATGTAATTGATTACTTGCTTCTACAAGAGCACGTTTTTGATAAACTTCAATTTTGCCCTTTTAACCCTTTCACTGCCGTCCCTATTGTTTTCGGCGTATTTGACATATAGACGGCTTTTGCCGTTTCTATAATAATAATAATAATAAGTATTATAATAATTATAATACTGCACGTTTGTAACGTCATTTTTCATTGGATAATCGTGACGTTTATATAGTTTTATATACACGGCTGCTGTCGATTAATGAAGAAATCTTACTTGTTTTCTCTAAAAATGATGCTTGCTGTATTATAAATTCGTTATAAAGATGGTTGACAGGTTATATGGCCGTATATAAACGGCTGTTTGCAATATAACCCTCGCCTAACGGCTCGGGTTATATTTACAAATACCCGTTTATATTGGGTCATATAACCTGTCAACGATCTTTATAACTAATAATATAATAATAATAATAATAAATATATTGATTATTATACCATCGACAATAATAATTATTATACTAGCAGATTTGGAAATATATATAATTATTATAATACTAATAACAAATAATAATAATTATATAAATTAACAAGAGGGCCATGATGGCCCTGAGTCGCTCACCAGAAACAACTGTTTTTCAGTGTTATTTTTCAAAGAACTTGCTGAAAGACCAGTCCAGCTCAACTTTTACTTGCCCTTCTAATTTAAATCATTGAAATATTTTGCCCTCATATTTTGGAGGCTTTGTTAAAAAAAACTTTTTTTTCTTCATTTATTTGATATTTGAAGTATAACAATTCAAACATACATATTAACATGCAATTCATAGACTCATACCTATAATTTCAAAAACAAAAAAAACTACATAAGTATGAAAAACATCCATTTACTCCATATTTCTACTATATATTTATTCATTTCGAATAATAGAAAGAGTATTTCAGATAAAGGGACTGAAAATTTAAAGTACATGTATATTCAAAGACTTTTTAACATTATTTGGAGAAAGGGAGAATGAAAAAAAGAAGGCTTTTTGAAGTATATATATTCAAAAATATTTAACATTATGTGGTGTAAAAATAAGGAGAGAGAGAGAGAAAAAAAAACAACAAAGAAAATGTCAGAGAAAATATACATACACAAACATACACACAGACATTCAAAAAGATACTTTTTTCCTACATACATACAAAAATACATACAATCGCAAAAAAGAGACAAAAAAAGGAACAAGCGAGCTAATTTCAATTAATTTTCTTACGTTTTATGGTTTTGAAATTATTTTTAACTTTCTCTTACTGTTGGTTTGTAGGTTAGAGCGTTAAACAAGTTACCCCATTTTTGTTTGTGTGATTCAACGTTATCATTTAGAAAAGCAATTTTCTCTTCAATTTGTATTCTCAATAGCAAAAAGTTTTTGAAAATATCAAAAGTTGGTTCATGCTTTTGGTATTTCATTTTAAGGATAAAATATTTCATAAATATGATGATATAATTTACTAAAATACTATTAATATTGTTTTTCAGTTCTCCAAAAAACACTGTTTCTAAATCATATGAGAAAACAGTATTGATTGATAAAAGAAAAGAATGTAATTTTGACCATAAATTTTGTACAATAGTACATTCCCAAAAAAGATGGTAAAGCGTTTCTAAATTGCTACCACAAAAATCACATAGATTTGAATTACAAAGGTTATACTTAAATAACATTGTATTAGTTGGAATAAGTCTATGAATAAATTTGTATTGAAAATTTCTCAATGACACGTCTGTAGTACTTTTAAATGGAACCATATCTATTTTTTGCCAATCCAACTCAGTTTCTATTTCTTTTTCCCATTTCTCTTCATTTGTATTTTTGAACCTTTCATCATTTTCAAGTTGAATATTATATAAAAGCTTATTTGTAGATTTTGATTTTTTAACTTTATTTAGGAGTGTATCTTGTACTTCGTTATAATTTCTTGTAGATTTCAGACTATTAAGATATCCTGTTGGTATATTATTCACAAGCGTGTAATATTTTAAAAACTCAGCATTTTCCATACCATAGATATTTTTAAGGTCTTCAAATTTGTAGAGTTCATTTTTCCTATAATCATATAGATGTTCTAAATATAGAATACCTTTTTGATGCCATGTTTTATAGTACACCAATTTATTATCAATTTTAATATTCGAATTATTCCATATTATATGTTTAAGGTTATCTTTTTTTTATTGTGTTCTTGTTGAATATGAAACCATGACGAAAGCACATTGTTTACAAATGAATTATGAGGAAAAAGCTTATTGATATCTGATTTCGAAAGATTACAGTCAAATATAAGGTCATTTCCATACTGTTTTATCTTTTGATTTATAAAAAGTTTCCATAATCCTTTATTGTCCTCATTTATATATCGTTTGACCCAATTTGCCTTTACTGCATTTAAAAAAATTATTAATATCGATCATTTTTAAACCACCATTTTTAACATTAAGTTTCAATGTTTTACGTTTGATTTATTCTGGCTTGCCATCCCAAAGAAACAAAAACATTGCTTTAATTATTTCTTTAATCTTATTACTTGATGGGTTTTCTAAAACTGAAAATGGATACAACAGTTTAGGTAAGGCAAATGTTTTTATTACCATCACTTTACCCATAAGGGTCAGTTTTCTGTGTTGCCATTGTTTTAAGCAAATAAAAAAGTTTCTTAGTTTTGGTTCTAAATTTATATCTGTATTTATTTTGTAATTAGACGAGAAAAGAATACCTAGATATTTTGCTGAATCAGATGTCCAATTGAATTTTTTATATTTACAATGTTCTATATCACTTTTTGTGAGCGATCCCACTCGTAGAACTGTGGATTTTTTTGTATTAAGTTTTAAACCAGAGATTTTGCTAAATTCCGTTATGACATATACAAGTTTTTCAAAAGACTTCACTGATCCATCATTAACAAATGTTGCATCATCTGCAAAAAAGGATTGCTTTATTGTTTTGTTCGCGATTTCTATTCCTTTAATTTCACTATCTTTTTCTATGAAATTTGATAATAGTTCTATACATAAAATAAATAATGAAGATGATAATGGACATCCCTGACGTACATCCCTTTCTATATTAAAAGATTCTGAAAAATGT